TATAATTTTGCCCTCTCAACATCTTTCCACACATGCTGGATTTTATTAAAGCACAAATCACATCATACTTTTTTGTATTTTCCTGATTCAGGAAACCTGCTGACTTTTCCTTACCTGTATCTTATTTCTCAAGGTATTTTCCAAAGATATTTTATGGAAAAACAGTCCTTTGTCATGTAACTTTGGAAATGCATTTACTATGTTCTCCCATAGACGATACAATTGCACATTACCATAATAAGGATTCTGAAAAAGTCCTACAGTTGAGAAAACTATATAAATTTTTTAACTCAGATAGAAACATATATTAACCTATGAACACTTTTTTTATGTAACAACTAATAACATCTTGCTGAGCTAGTATTCTAAGAACACACCTTGACCTAAGAGAGTAAAATCGATGCTGAAAATTAGCATTAAAGTGAATAGAAAATGTAAGCTATGCAGTGTGTAAAATATGTTAGTTCAAATGCATAAATTCTTAGAACTGGAATGGAATTTAAGGACAATCTAGCCCAAGTCATGCATTTTATGAATCAGCTTCAGTAATATAAATTTATTTCCAAAAGTTACTTAATAAGTTGCTGGCAGAGCTGAGCTTAGAATTTCTAGTTTATTGCCCCAGTATATAAATACTATTTTTATTCAAGTTAAATAATTTAACATATATTTATTCTCCACTGCTACATGCCTGGTATATGCAAAGATATCCTGACAATGCATCTTGGCACTTATTCCATTTTTATTTAACTCAATTGGTTGAGTGCAAATTCCTTGAGGGTCAAGCATTTCTCTAGATTTTTTTAATTTCCCTTAGTGTCTAAAATATTATGATGCACAACCAGTCACTAACACAACACATTCATATAATATATTCTTGCCTAAATAACTTCTGATGCCAAGTTAGAAATTAAAAGGGACATAACTAGAGTGAGGACCTAGTTCATAGCTGGTGCCTTCTCACTCTATCTTCATACGGTGGAAAAAAGGAAGAATCTCTGTGGAAGGATCTCACTCATGTATATATATACACAATATATATATATTATAACCACACTAATCCCATCCCTCATGACATAATCTGCTCTGAAAGACCTCACCTCCTAATACCAGCACTTTATGTAGAATTTTAGGCTTCTGCATAAAAATTTGGGGGAAACAAACGAGACCCTAGCATAATCCCACCAACAATGATGGTGGGGTCCACATTCTCACCAACACTTTGTATTGTTTGTTTTTATGAATTTAAGTTATAGTATCTCACAATAGTGCTAATTTGTATTTTTCTGATCACTGATTATGTTGAGCATCTTTTAATACGCTCATTGGCCATATGCATGTCACCTTTTGAAGTGTGTGTTCACTCTTTACCCCATTTTTAATTAGATATTTATTTGTAGTTCTTGATACAGTTTCAATATATGATCTTTGGAGACATGAACTTCAAAAACTTTCTCACAGCTCACCTTTTCAGTCTTAGCAGTGCTTACCTTGATGAACAGAAGTTCTTAATTTTAATGAAGTCCATTTATTGGTATTTTATTTTATAATTGGTGCTATTTGTATCCTGATTCAGAAATCTTGGGCCAGCCTTAGTGGCCTAGTGGTTAAGTTCAATGCGCTCCACTTTGGTAGGCAGGTTTCAGTCCTAGTAGTGGACGTACACCTCTCTGTTAGTGGCCATGCTGTGCTGTGCTGGAAGCCCACATACTAAAAAATAGAGAAAGATTGGCATGAATGTTAGTTCAGAGTGAATCTTCCTCAGCAAAAAAGAAAAGAAAAGAAAAGAAATCTTCGCTATGCTCATCGTGAACATATTCTCCTACACTTCTTCTACAAGATTTAATGTTTTGTCTTTCACATTTAGATCTTTAAGTTCCCTTGACTCAATTTTTGCATATGACACAGGGTGGGGTGATGCATATTTTTAATGGAGCCAGCTATTCAAGAAAGTGAAGTACAGAAAGGTACAGGAATGTGGGAGAAGTGAGTTAACCAATGCACAGCTCCGGTTTGGGCTTATCATCTTGTTTGCCATTTTGCAATGTGACTTGATGCATTTTGAAATTTTTAAAAGGAAGTTAATTACAATAATATATAATTAGGTCAGTTCACTCTGATTGATCTCCACAAATTACAGTTTTATAGATGTTATAAAATGTTGTATTATTTTTTCAATGGTATGCCGAAATCAGTCTCCCACTGCTCTGTGAACATGAATCATTTAATGCTTTTGGTCACTTTTCTGAGGCAACGTTATGGAGAAGAGAGAGCGCTGAACTAGCAATCTGCTGACTGAATTCAAGTTCAGATCAGCCGTTAATTAGCTGTGGCCTGTTGTAGTGCATACTCATAGTTTATCTATCCAATATCTTTCCTTTCTTCTGGAAGCAACAATCCCTTCCTCCTGGGGGCTACCTCTGTCCACTCCACCCCCAAAACCAAATACTTAAATCAGATTTCCAATGTTATTCCATTTTCCTGTTTCTGACCCCTGGCTTGTTTAGGGCCCACCAAATCCATACTGATCTCCTACAGCTTTCCAACTCAAATATATTGGTCCAAAGTGGGGGCACTTTTTCCAACTTGAAACTATCAGTGCCATTCTCAAGCTGTTTGAACCTAGTCCATAAAGAGATGTAGGAACGCTATTTTGATGGAAGAACCTTCAGGGTTTAGAACCCAGGAAATATCACTGCTATGCATCGTACTGTGTAGGGAAAGTTGGGCTGCACTGGGCGAGAATAAAGCTCATGTGAGGGGTGCAGCAGGAATGAGAGACTCCTGGTGGTGGTCAGCTCCCTGACTAGTCGTTTCTGAGATCCAGCTGCAAACCTGCATCTCTAGTCCTCATTGTTCTACCTTCTCTAGAATGAATGAGCTGATGACTTTCTGACCCAAACTATCTGAGCTGGCTTCTGATTCTCACAATCAAGGAAAGTCTAAAACAACTAAAACTGAGCAACACTCTAGGCCACCATTTGTAAAGAAAGTCACGATGGATTTAGAGTCCCAGTTTTCATCAAGTCTTCAGCAAGCACCCAACTTCAACCTGCTTCCTAAGCCATGGGATAGAAAAACATGATGTATTTTACACTCAAAGTAAAACAGGTTGTATATCTCAAAGAATCAAACGAAAATAGAAGAGTCGTGAAAAATACATTTTCAAAAATTAGATAAAGACTACAAATTTGGTTGATAGACTCTTCAAAATAATATATATGTGTATATAGGCATACATATGCATACATATATTTGTGGATTCCTATAGCTTATGATATGTTTTAGGAGGTATATAACATTGCTACTGACTCAAAATCAAATATGTGCTAATGTGTCTAAAGTGTTATGAGAAAATAGGTTATACATTTCACTGGTGCTTTTAAAGAAGCTTAAAGCAAAATGGCATTTCTTACTTTATTAATTTATTATAAGGCTACTCACACATTAATGGTGTGTATCGTGGCAGTGATTTGCTACAGACATAACCAGAGAATTCTCAAAGTTGTTTTTGATGGAATATCTGTTCCTGCATTTGTGAATGTTTACTAGTTAGATTTCTCTTTCCTTCCGGACTCTGATGGCATTAGTATCTGAACATGTGTGTACGTTCCCTTCTTTTTCTGTTCGCATCCTGTATGAACATTACACATTTCCTTCCACCTCTGAATCCAAGGGAGAAATAGCCTTTAAAAACAAAATTTAGATATACTTTTCCATTATTTTTTTGCTGTAAATCTTTAAATCATTTTGAAACAGGAATTGTCACTCTCCTGCTGAAATCTGTTTCCCTCAGAGTGTAAATGTGTTGGTTTATCACTTACAGTCACTTTTCTGTGAAACATTTTTGAATCAGATAACTCCCTAAGCTGAGGGGGGAAGAACTGGAGGACAGGACTGGCTGGAATGTTAGATATTTCTTTTTTCCTCAGTTCTGTTTGCTATCTCATAGAAAACCTGGTTAGGAAAGTGGTTATAAAAACAGAAAAATATTTTAAAGGAAACAAAGATGAAAATTTGGAAAATGTGTTTCTTTTTTCAAAGAAAGACTGGAGCAAAAAGAAAAAGAAATCAGGAATTGAAAGTTTCATTAATGAGTTAGTAGAAAAATGCAAGAAAAGTTAACAAATAATTAGTTCTGACTGAGAAAGAAGAATAGCTGTAGAAAGATGTGGCAAACAGAATTGCATGTGAAAATGGATCTTTAAAAAAATTTTTTTTAATTTATTTTGTTGTAGTAACATTGGATTATAACGTTATATAGCTTTCAGATGTACATCGTAATATATGTCAGATTCTGTGTAGATTACACCATGTTCACCACCCAAAAACTAATTAGAGTCCATCCCCTCACATGTGAGCCTGATTGATCCTTTTGTCCTCCTCTCTCACCACTTCCCCTGTGGTGACCACCAATCCAATCTCTGTCGCTATGTGCTTGTTTGTCATTGTTTTTATCTTCCATTTATGAGTGAGATCATACGGTATTTGACTTTCTCCCTCTGACTTATTTCACTCAGCATAATACCCTCAAGATCCATCCATGTTGTCACAAATGGCCGGATTTCCTCATTTCTTATGGCTGAGTAGTATGCCATTGTGTAAATATACCACATCTTCTTTATCCATTCGTCCCTTGATGGGCACCTAGGTTGCTTCCAAGTCATCTTAATACATACTTAGCCATGTTTATCAGCATTTACCCATGTCTCTCAATTATTGCTATTTTAATTTGTATTTTCAAGGAAATATGAAATATGACCTGTGTATTTGAATTTTATTAGATATATGTGCTGAAAGTATGTGAGTCCATGATATTGAATGCTACATACACATGTTTGAAATATGAGTCATGGAATGTGTGGACAGAGATGTATAAGAATACACATTAAATGTCATAGAAATTTACATTTGGAGGTATGCATAAGAATCCTACTAGCCTATGGATAGTTATGCATTAACATTTTATTTATTAGCTCTATCCATGTCTTGTATTTCAGAGATGATCTATACAATGAAGAAAGAACAGATTTGTTGGGCTTCTATATGTCTGCTGCTTGGTTGTGCCTCTGCTCCTCTTAATGCTGCTCCTCAGGAAAGTGAAGAACATACAAACATTACAGGTAAAGTGGCGGAAGCATTCATCTTTTTAAGCTAGTCAAAGCTCTCAATTTTAATCCAAAAACAATTTTATTTTCCCCATCACGTAGGAAAATTAGTTTTTATCAAAGGGACATTTTTCTTGGGAAACATCTTATATGTAATGTATCAGAAAACAAACAAACAAACTTAGTCCAAAAAAAGTCATTTTAGCAGGGAAGACTTCTCTTTTTTCAGGCTATAATATTAAACACTGAAGGATCTCTGGAAAATTGCAAGGAACCAAATGCTGTAGGAACAACTCGCTGCGGACTTTGATGCCCCCGTTAGCTGGGAGAAGCGCGAGAAGGAAACAGAAGCGAATGACATCTGAAGTCGAGCCATTCTCTCCTTCCGGCCCTTATTCCCCAAATCAGAACTTGCCAGATGAGTCCAGTGTGAGAATCTAGTCAAGCAGGACACCAAGAGATCTGTAATAGAATTTAGTTCTAATCCCATAAAGCTCTGTGTCTAAAAATAAAATATAACAATCAAACAATAGAGCAAGGAGAAAACTGTACAGTGATTGCTATTATAGATTTCTGTCTTTCGTAAAAGTAATATTTTGTAGCAAATTAGTAAATCACTGATAGAACTCTCAAGTCATTGGTAATAGTGAGAGAATATGAACAAAATGACAACTTCTATTTGTATTTGTGTGCGTTATGTACAAAAGACTTCCATAAATACATCCTTATTACGTATCTCGAACAGCTCTTTAAAGTGATTTTGTTCGGTGTACTTCCCTTTGATAAAGATTGAACAGATAAATTTGAAGTGCCTGAGACTGTGGTAGGTGCTAGGCAAGCAGTGGTGACTGAGACCAGGTTCTCAAGAATCTCAGTTTCACAGGGGAGACTGAAGTGTAGACAGGTGGTTTCAGTATAATGTGTAAGTGAAGCGATGGAGGCAGCCCTAAGGAGCTGCTGTTGGTGCGAAGAGGAAGGGGACTCAGCCACGCTTGGTGACCTGAGAGCTTGGCATGGGGAGGTGGCCAAGTGGTACGTGTGGCATTACTTCATCCTTCACCCAAGAATGAGACACTTGGAGCAGAGCTGAAGATCTGTCCCAGCTGGACCCACAGCTTGAAGCCCGGCTGCCCAGGCGGACCCAGCTGAGACCACCTCCAGCTGACCACGGGAGGGGAAGCAGGGCAGCTGAGATCAACAGGGCCATTCACATCCAACCCGTGAGTGAAAAATAAAGGCTTACGGTTATATGCCACTGAGAAAAATATACATTGTTAGAAAAAATTCCTAAAGATGGAATGTTATTTAATGAAGTCAAAACTGTAATGTGCCTTATGAAAATAGGAATTTGGGCATTATGGGATGAACTCTAATCCTTCATTTGGCTCGTTTCTCAAAAAGGATGTCTAAAGTTCTAAAATTCTGGAGGTTCAGTCGAGAGGGGATGTGGAGGATAAAATAGGTTCCAACAGGGAAAAAGCAGGCAACCCCATCTCGGGATGTGGGAGGAGAAAGGCTCTGCATGTTCCGATATTCACCTAGTCCAGTCTCCCTCAGGTAGGCTGAGAAAATGCAAGCCAGTTAACCAGGAGGTTCCTGAAATTGTTACTGCGGCCGCAGTCAACCAAGAAATCAGATTCACCCATCAATATTTAGGCCAGAGTCTAAAATCTCATAAATCCAGATCAAACCCAGCTGGATAAGAAAACATTTTGATCTTAAAGCTAGACTTGAAGACACTTAGCTGACTGATTGCACAGTCTTACTCAGTTTTTCTTTTGTTTTGTTTTTAATGAATCTTGGAATAGCATGATCCTGCATCTGAATCAATTCAATTTTGGAGACACTGTTTATCACATTATGCCAAGGTTGTGCCACCATTTTATAGAAGTACACTATTTCAGTGAAATAGCGTACTATCCTTTTATAGAAAAACATGCAAGATTTTATGGCTTCTCTCACAATAGTAAACTTTCTTTCATCAGTCCAACCAGCAGGTAGGATAAAGTAGAATAAATTTTTTATTCTTTTTTTGGTAAGACAAAAAGGATGATAAAACACAGTGGTGATAAACTTTTTTTTTTAATTCCTCTGGACTGGGAGAGAGAAGATAGCAGGGAGCATTTAGAGAAAGGCAAGTATTTTTCATAAGATTTAGAATCAGACAGACTTAAGTTTGCGTGTGTGGTTTGCCAGAGGGTAGCTTTGCAAAATTAGATGGGTTAATGTAAACTTTCTGACTCGCAGTGCCCTAAAGAAAGTGATGTAAAGAACCACGTTTGGATGGTTGTTATACAAACGGCATGAAAGCATGTGGCACATTTTCTGGCACAGAGAAGGCGAAGAGTACATGTCTGAGTTCTTCCCTTCCAGAGAAGTCAAACCTTCTAGTGAGAGAGCCAAGCAGCAGGTCGACTCTTAGATAGCAAGTTGCCTTAAAGCTCTAGGTTCCCCAACAAATTCCGGGAGAATTAGGATGCTGACAGTCGAGGACGCGACAGGCTCCAAGCACTATGAGGAGCCTTCCATCCAACATCCCAGACAAGGGGACGGAGGAGTGAGACTGTAATTGTCGGACGGTGAGATATAAAATACAAGAAATCAATTACAAAAGTGCTTAAACATAGGGCCAGCCAGGTGGCACAGCAGTCAAGTTTGCATGTTCCTCTCCAGCAGCCCAGGGTTTGCAGGTTCGGATCCCAGGTGCGGACAGGGCACTGCTTGGCAAGCCATGCTGTGGTAGGCATCCCACGTATAAAGTAGAGGAAGATGGGCATGGATGTTAGCTCAGGGCCAGTCTTCCTCAGCAAAAAGAGGAGGATTGGCAGCAGATGCTAGCTCAGGGCTAATCTTCCTCAAAAAAAGAAAAAAAAATGCTTAAACATAAACCATAATTCTGTTTATCTCACTGCATCAGGTTAAATTCCTGTTACATTGCCCTCCATGTGTTTTCCAATTTCACGGCCTTGGGCAGACCCGTGTCACTGTCAACACTGTCTTCACGTCTCAGTTTTGTCTCAGGAAAGTTATCCCTGACCCCCTCAACAAACTTAAGAGTCTGATTATAGGCTCGTGCAGCTTCCTGAGCTCCGTGAATATTTATACATGTAATCTTCAGTGTCTGGATGCCCCATGAAAGAGAGGGTACTGCTGCCATATATTTACTCTCATATCCACCATGGCAGCACAGTGCCTGCCACAGGCTCGACCCACGATCGTTAACTCTCAAAAATTAAGAAATGAAAACAAGGGCGATTTCCATCCTTTTGAGTGGAGTGGGCTGGTGCTGTGTCCAAGAGGGCAGGCCTGATCACTCCTCTACCTCAGGGATGCTGCGCCCCGGTGTAGGTCCCAAGCTCACTGCACAAAAGGATATTCTAATACAAGATTCAGGTAAGAAATACATTAAAATTCGAATGGTAAAGAAAAATAATTAGCTAATAATAAGATACAGTTAATAAAAGTTAATTCTTAGCATTTTCCTTAGGAAATTGGTATAAAATCATCACCTACTTTCATCATTGAAAGCTTTTTTAGTTTTTATAAACTGAATTTTAGAAAAAAACTTTATTAATTGACTGGAAATTATATAAGTCTATGTGCTTCACTTAAATGCCAATTTAGGATTCTCAATTATAGAGATCTGTGACATTATTACTCAGTTACTAAGAAGGTGTGACATATCTGATGTAAAACTATGTGGGAGTCAATTCCAAAGCCATCACTTATGGTGTGAACTGAGCAATTAAATTTCTGCAGTGCTTTTTTTTTGATGAGGAAGATTGGCCCTGAGCTAACATCTGTTGCTAATCTTCCTCTTTTTGCTTGAGGAAGATTGTCACTGAACTATCATTGTTACTGAGTTAACATCTGTGGTAATCTTCCTCTATTTTGTATGTGCTTGATGAGCAATGCATAGGTCTGCACCTGGGATCCAAACCCGTGAACCCCAGGCCGCCAAAGTGGAGGGCACAAGCTTAACCACTACAGCCCCTGCAGTGCTTTCTATATAATTTACAAATTGGAGATAATACCTAAGTCAGAAGGTTGTTGTGATCATTAAATAATATAATTACAAAATGTCTGGATCATAGTAATCACTCAGTAAACGACATTAGCTGTGGTTAGTACTGGGAGGAGTGCTGCAATTACTGGGCATTATCTTTCGTGTTTGTGGTGCACTGCCGCCACCTCGTGGCACAATTACTAAATAGCAGGTTGAACTTCGGGTTGCATATCCTTAACAGGCAAAATGTGAAAGAAAAGATTTGGCATGATGATAAGGAATATCAACTATATTAAGAGTCAAAAGCAGAGGAATCATCAATGAGAAAGAACTGATATACATTACTGATTTATAAGAAATAGTTTTCCTGCACATATATGGCAACCCAGGTGAAGCTCCCTGTGCTCTCCAGGGGGAGATCTGTGTTAAAGGAGCCTGTCTGAAGCCCTTCTTCAGTCGTCGGGTGTCTGCAAAGTTCTAAAGTAACATTAACGTGGGAATCAGGACCATCAGGTGATGTGAGAAGTGCTATAGGAATTTCTGAGATAATGGTATATAGCCGTAAGATTCAAAATGTCAGAATACTTTTATTCCTAGTTCATTTCTCAAAATTATTTATGTGACTTCTGAGGTCTAATTCTAAGATCAGATATTTATAGAACTGATAGGTCAAATTTTGTCCATCCTGTAAAAATGCATGTGGAGCAAATACACAGCGCTAATTCGATACTGCCATCGTGGGCCTGCTGTCAGTCAGAGGCACCACTCAGGGTCTTTGATGCAAAGTTTTCTAGCTTCTCACAACTTTTTAACAACTCAGGCTGTCACTTATAGAATTCCCAACCTTTAAGCAACAAAAGAGAATATAAAAAGCATTTACAGTCATAAACGTACTACTAGAAAATGCTTTCAATTATTTTTTAATTCAAACTGACATAACTTCAATGATGAAGAGGGAAACATTGTTTCATAAGTCATTTTTTGTTTATATAGAGAGATTTATCTGTAAAAAATGCTTTCATCAACACTCAAATGTTATTTTATATATTACGAATTTCTATAGAAAAAAGTACTTGTGTATATAATTTAAGAAAAATAAGGAATGTCAAGGAAGTCTACAAACATTTAAGGAAAATTCTAAATCTGAAGTATCCATTTTTCTAAGTGCTAAAAACTTTTGATATGCCTTCAGGGATCTTTTACAGCTAATTAATTTCAAGTAAGTTCATCAGCATAAAATGTTAGGTAAATAATTAGGAAGAAAAAGAAATGAGATTTAAATATTTATATCATAATCAATAGTTATTAACTTACTTTGATAAAGTTATTTATGTATATTTTATAGAGATTGACTGGCTTTAGGGACACTATATAATTGGTGTAAAAATTATAAAAAACATCATATTGGTAAGCACCTAAATGATATTTTGCCAATTGAACATAACCCATAGGAAGCTGAAAACACACAAATGCATAGGTGCAAAAAATTCACTGTTAAAGATTTGACCAGTGTTACAGCTTGCTAATTAGCCAGTTCATGAAAACTGTGTTTGGTTCTAAAAGTTCCCCTGTCTTTTGTTGACAAAGGTATGTGTATCATAACAAATCTCTGTTACTCGTTACTTGACCTTATCAAGTTTGGGGCCTGAAAATTTCTGTTCTGTCATTCCATCTGCTTAATTTATTTCAGTTGAAAAAAATAGTCAATTCTGTTATCAGAGAAATCAAAATGGTAATATGAAATATGGTATTTTATAAATTAACCTCGGAGTTTTTAAATTAAAAGTTGCATTAGTGGTTGACATAAAATTCACTTATTCATAAATAGTGTCAAATGAATCAAGCAGCATAATAATACCAGCTATATTTGAATGCAAGGCCTACTTATCTTTTTATAACTCAGAAAATAAAAAATAACATTCCAATTACTTTTTTACAAAAACTCTTAACATTATTTGAAATATGGCTAATACTTGACATTAATTCAGTGTAGATCATTAGGATAAAATATTAAGGGTGAAAGAGACAATAAAATTATCTAATTCAACTTTTATGATATACGTTTTTCTCTTTCAAAAAATTCAGTTTTGAAATTATAGGAAAATTAAAATTGATTTCATTCTAGATGTCATACACCCACAAACCTATCCTTTACTTCATGTTTTTAAAATATTTTATGTGAAAGTATTAAGGTGACATCCATTCATGTTTCCTTTTTCAAAGTAAATCATTTTATAGTGCATTAAAGCACTTTTTTCAAAGATACTTAAACTTGGTTTTCATTCAATAGGATACTGCTGCCCTCTAAAGGGCTGCTTCGGTTTAGATCATTTTCCGGTTTTGTATCCTCCACAAGGAATCATGGTAAATAGTGAAAGACAAAGAACAGAGACTCAACACATAGGCAATCCCCGAGGACTATTATACGGCATCCTTTGGTCGTTATTATGTTGGTTGTACCATCCAGAATTTTCAGTGTCTATCTTACTGGCCGATTCTGTAGACAAATGCAACTTAATTAAAGTCAGGCCTCCCTCTATTAATATTATTAGACATGATAAAAATCAATTTTAAACATCTTAGTTGAGTTTCCTGTATGTACAAGCCCCTTCCCAAGATAGGAAACTCTTCTGTGATGCAAATAAGTGACTAAACATTTAGGGAGAAATTATAACTCAAGGTCAACAGAATTGCCTCATTCTATTTTAAAACATAGAAAGCATTGTTTAAGTTTTCTCACCGTTGTTAAAAACCAATCGTGGTAAGTAAAAGCATATATATATATATATATTCGTAATATCAAACACCTAAATTTTCATAATTAGGGAATATTTTAATATAGTATGATATATATATGTATATATATATACACGAGTATAAATATACTGTTGCTTATTTTGGTTTGTTTTCATGTGGATTGGTGTCTTGTAGGAACCCTGATACTGTTGCTTTTAAAGAGTTGTTTTTTGTGTAAAAATGACACAACAGTGAATTAGGGAGAGGAACTCAAAAAGATTGTCCATTAACGTCTGCCCTTAAAAACTGCTGAATTAAAACAGAGGTCTCTACTTACTGGTGATGCCAACACATCAGCTATCTTACAACTACTGCTCAATTCCATATGGGTCAACTGGTACAGGTGTAAGCCATATTTATAAAAAAAGTCTAGAGAAATTATTCTACATTTTCCTTTAATAGTTGATTAATAATAGTTAATCATAATTAATCATTAATTAGTAATAACAGTTGATTAATAAAGTTTGATAAGACCTGTCTCATTTGATGAGTTTATAAACTTTGTCTACCTTTTTGATAATTTTGAATAACTTTTCATAGTTTCTTATATCGGCCTGTTTTATTGTTGTACTTTTCCTTAAAATTAAGATGTATTAAAAAGGAAATAAAGAATATTCCTACAGGGTTGATGAAGGATTTTATGTTACATCTTTTGTTTTTACCTTGTAGATGCTGAGTTACCACCACTGAAACCTCTGCATTCGTTTTGTGCGTTGAAAGCGGATGATGGCCCATGCAGGGCAATGATCAAGAGATTTTTTTTCAATATTCATACTCAGCAGTGTGAAGAATTTGTATACGGGGGATGTGAAGGCAATCAGAATCGATTTGAAAGCCTGGAAGAGTGCAAAGAAAAGTGTATAAGAGGTAGGTGTCTGGAGGCAGTTATCAGCCAGGAGCCTTTAGACTTATTAGATATAACCATAGATTTGATAATTCTAGAAAAAAAAATTAAAACTACTTTGACATTCCAAGGAATTTTCTTTTTTACTTTTTCAGCTTTCCTTTTCAACTATTGCTTTTCATTTTTGTCATATCAGTCATTTAACATACCTTAAGCCTATTGTCCTACACTCTTCTCCACAATAAAGAGGGAAGACAAACCCTTAAGTTTACAGGATGGGTTTTATATCTGCAGTGATATGAGTGTAATTCAGCCTCTCTAAGTGGCTAAGAAATTGTTTGTCACACTGACTTAGACTTTCTTTTATCAATACAATGATCTCATAGCTGTCTCCTTCCAAGATAATGAACCTGAGAATCCACTTTGAGGCTCTCAGTAGCTACTAATTAGAAAATTCTAAGCTGCATCAGGAAGTAGAAGTATATATATGAAAGTTAAGTCGTTCTCTTTGGAAACTTGGAAGACTGTAGAAAAGAAAATATCATCCTTGCTGACCCACGAAGACTTTACTGAACCCAACTTTTCATTTTTTTATTAAGTTATAAGGTTTAAAAGCACATCACGTTATATTGTTAATAACCCTTATTGGACAATTTTATTCTGCTTTAATCCTATTAAAACAACATTTTTTTTTTGCAAATTTTACAAATTACGGTGTTTTGCCTAGTTTTACCGCTTCCCACTGAGATCAATTCCAAAGAATTACTGGTTCAAATTTTGAATGTTTTTATCTGTTTTATTCTTCTGAATTGTGAGCTACTTGAAGGATAGAAGAATCTGTGTTCTCTTTATATCCCAAGTTTCTAGCTCCAAATTCCCCCCTCGCATGTTCTTAGAGCTCGTTGAATTGAATTGTACAGCTATAGCAGTGGTATCCTTTTAGTAACACTAGGTGTCTTGTTTTTTGCAAAGCAGGCGGCTCTGCATTCTCCCTCTGGTAATGCTTTCCAAACAGCTTTTACAAAACAGCCTTGGCATCACGATGCTCTTGGCCTGTGGGAAAACCTCAATGTGGTGAAAAGAGAGCACTTCTCTCCTCTGTGACTCTGAGTTGCTTTGTTGTATGCTCCAGAGCTGACAGAAAGGAATTGATGTGAATATATTTCTTTGACTTCAGCGCACTTATTTCCTTCTTTCCTCTCCATAGATGTGCTGGAAATGTTACTGACACAGATTAGGCAGGTCAGTGGTCCCTTGTGGTGCCTTTAGTTTTTGTGATTGTCAGGTCATTTGCCACTCATCACTGATTTCTATACCCATTCTCTTCCATACTGGGCCAAATCATCTTTTGTGTTGATCTGAATATCACTCAGGTTCAGCACCGTGGCTAGAGGCTTGGATGCCTCATTCTTTGTAATCCCCGCTTTTTCGTTTGGCAGCTACTTATTTCCATCAACTAGCCTCTTCCTTGAAATACATACTTGTTTCTTTTTTATAAATTCATGAATCAAAGGTGTCAAAAGTTACCCTTTTCTTTAGATATTAATCAAATATACTGGGACTGGCCTGGTGGTGTAGTGGTTAAGTTAGCATTCTCCTCTTTGGCAGCCTGGGGTTTGCTGGTTCCAATCTTGTGCACAGACCTATGTGCCACTTATCAAGCCATGCTGTGGCAGGCATCCCACGTATAAATTAAAGGAAGATGGGCATGGACGTTAGCTCAGAGCCAATCTTCCTCAGCAAAAAGAGGCGGATTGCCAGAGGATGTTAGCTCAGGGCTAATCTTCCTCCCCCCCCCCCCCAAAAAAAAAGAAAAAGAAATTAATCAAATATAATCATTTTGTTCTTCAGTGACTGCCCTGCTTATAATGTTTTCTCAAGCATCATTACCGCCTAGCATATAAATATGTCTCTTGCCCCATCTATCCATTATCTCTTCAAAAACCACTTGATATTATTGTTTGAATATCTGAGTGTTTTATGTGGCAAACTACTGTTAAGGATAAAGCTAGCATATAGAAAAAATATTTCCAGGCTTTTAAAATATCACCCAAGGAGAAAATTCCATCTTCAGCAATGATGAAGTAACTGGAACTAAACTTCCTCTCCTAATATAAATAACTAGAAAATTGGACAAAATATATGAAGCAACTGTTTGCAGACATTGATCAAAAGTCAGTGCAGGACTGTGATCTCTGAGAGAAGGGCAACACGTGAGGGGATCCTCCAGTCCTCCCAGCTTTCCACTTGAAGGCACTTCTGGACCACAGTAAAAGGAGAGGAGCCCAAGTACAGCCGTGGGGGTCTCCCTGGTGGAGGTTATGGAATTGGAGATTAGGAGACTGAGGTGACTGAGTTTGGGGGGAAAATATGTGGGAGAGAATGTACATATGTCAAGAAAAAGTACAAAAATCTGGATAAGGGTCCCTTTGGGTTTGTCTCTGAATAATAAAGCTGAATGCAATTGGTGAAATTTTGTGTTTGAGAAAATAATTACAGGGATTTGTAAATGGAAAAATTCCCAGAGCTCCCACCTGACTGAGAGAAATTTAGCATTTAATTTAGTACTAAGACTAAATTAGACCTAGTATAAGGGCCAGTTTAGACTTACCATAATGAAGCTTAAAGCAATTACTTAGTTGAAACAGAGAAGTGACAGAGGCAATGGAATTAGCAGACAAGGACTTTAAAATAGTTGTTATAAATATGCTAAAAGATTTAAAGAAAACATGAACATAATAAGGAGAAAAATGGAATATATAAAAGAGGACTAAATCAAACTTCTAAACCTGAAAAGTACAATATATAAAAATACAATATATAAAATAGGAAATTCACCAGATGCACTTGAGAGCACATTAGACATTATAGAAGAAAAGGTCAATAAACTTAAAGACAGAGCAATAGAAACGGTTGACAATTAAGCACAGTGGGAAAAAACTAAATATACAAGCAAAAAAGAATATAGTCCAATAACCCACAAGACAATATCAAGAATTCTATCAAAATGTGTTATAGGTGTCCTTGGGGTGGAGCAGAAGAAATACATGAACAAATAATTGCTGAAAACTGTAACTTGTAGAACCAAGAGCCTTGATGAATCCAAAAAAGAATAAACACCAACAAAGAGAAGACCACACAAATAAATAGAATAATCAAATTGCTGAAAATCAGGGATAAAAACTAAATCTTAAAAGGAGTTATGAAAATGATACATTAGGTATAAGATCAAGAGAATCACAAATTTCTCATCAAGAGAAGATTCACAAGAGAGGAAAATGAAACTTATTTAAAGAGCTGAAGGAAAAAGATTAACTGCCAATTAGTAATCTAGATCTATTAAAGTACCCTTAAAATGGAGATAAACACTTTTTCAGATCAACAATATCTGAGAAAATTTATTGCTAGCAGACCTGCACTGCAAGTAGTATTAAAGGATTTAAAACTACAGCACGTAAGAAAGAGGGGGAAATTCGCCATTACTGCAGTAACGTTCTGACGCTGTTGGTGAAAGTGGTGGAAACTACCGGGAGCCAAATTGTTGTAAGTTAAAGATATGTATTAAAGGCCCTAGAAAAACCATTAAAAATAAAACAAGGAGATATAGCAAATAGGCCTATATCACTAATGAAGATACAATTGTCATTAAAATACTCAATTCTAAAGAAGATAGGGAAACAGGCACAAAAAACAGATGAACAGTGGGAAAAAAATAGCTAGGGATTTATACTCAACCATAATGATAATTACATTAACATTTAATGGTGTAATTGCTCCAATTAAAAGGCAGATATTAGTCAATATACAAAGCAAATCAAGAACTACATGTTGTTTATGGGAAAGATATCTTTTTTTTTTTGAGGAAGATTAGCCCTGAGCTAACATCCACTGCCAATCCTCCTCTTTTTGCTGAGGAAGACTGGCCCTGAGCTAACATCCATGCCCATCTTCCTCTACTTTATACATGGGATGCCTACCACAGCATGGCTTGCCAAGAGGTGCCATGTCCGCACCCGGGATCCTAACCAGTGAACCCCGGGCCACTGAAGTGGAACGTGTGAACTTAACTGCTGTGCCACTGGGCCAGCCCCTATGGAAAAGACATCTTAAAAATAAAGACACAGCTAAAAGAGAAAGAATAGAAAAAGATATACCCTGCAAACACTAATCATAAGAATGGTCAAGAAAAGTAGACTACAGAAAAAGAGATAACAGCAGAAGAAAGGGAAGATACAAGGATGAGAGCCAATTAATAACAATCCTCAGTGTCTATGTGTATGCCTCAATTACAGAACTTCAAATTTTTCAAAGAAAAAGTTGACAGAAGTTAAATGAGGAATCGTTTCTCAGTTCAGTTTAGATTTTTCAATACACACTTTTCAGTACTTAATAGAACAAGCAAGCAGAAAATCAGTCTAGATATATAAGACTTGAACAACACTATCTTCCAACTTCACATAATTGACATTTATATAACACTCTCCTCAACAACAGCAGGATACATACCTTTATTTTGAGTGCACGTGAAACATTCACCAAGACAGACCATATGTAGGAGCAAATTTCTTAATTAAATTTAAAAGTATTACAATCATACATAGTATTTCTGTAACAGAAGGGGAATTAAATTAAAAATCAATAATAGAAAAATGCCTTATAAACCCCAAATATTTGGAATATGAAAAATATTGTGAGCCAAATGATGACAAAAACACAAGCTACAAAATCTGTGGGATGCAACTAAAGCAGTGCTTAGAGAAAAATTTCTAGCTATAAATATTTTACTATAAGAACAAAAAGTTTAAGATACATTTTTAAGTGTGATCCTCAAGGAACTAGAAAAAGAAGAGTAAATTAAACCCATAATAAGTAAAAGAAGAAAATGATAAAAATAAGCAGAAATCATTGACATAGAAAATGGACAAACAGTAGAGAAAATCAATGAAACTAAAAGGTAGTTCTTAGAAGATATCAATAAAAGTAATACTGCTCTAGCAGAGAGAGAACAGAAAGGACCAATATCAGGATGAAAGCATAGATACAGTTCGTGTGAACACTAAAAAGATAATAATGGAATATTATAAACAAATTGGTGCCAATACATTTAACAACTTGGATAAAACAGACAATTCCTTGAAAGATAAACATTATTCAAACTATCACAAGAAAAAGAATAGAAAATCTGAATAGCTCTCTCTATATTAAGTGAATTAGATTTGCAAATAAAAAACTTCCAACAAAGAAAACTCCAGGCCTAGATGATTTCATTGGTGAATTCTATAAAACATTTAAGATAGAAATGACAGGGGGCCAGCCCCATGGCCGAGTGGTTAAGTTGGCACGCTCCACTTCAGCGGCCTGGGGTTTGCTGGTTGGTTCGGATCCTGGGCGTGGACCTGCACACCGCTCATCAAGCCATGCTGTGGTGCCATCCCACATAGAAGAACTGGAATGACTTACATCTAGGATATACAACTATGTACTGGGGCTTTGGGGAGAAAAAAAAGATAGAAATAATGTAAATTCAATACAAATTCTTTCAGAAATTGAAAAGGAAGAAACACTTCCCAATTTATGATATGAAGTCAGCATTACCTTCATATTATACCAGATAAAGACAATTCATGAAAGAAAACTACAGACCCAATTTCTATCATGAATATAGTCACAAAAAATCTTAACAAAATAATAGCAAATCAAATTTAGGACAATATGAACAGACAATATATTATGACCAAGTGTGGTTGATGCAAGCTTGCAAGATTGGTTAAATATTCAAAATTTAATCTCCATATTAATCAATTAAAGGAGAAAAAACATATGAACATCTCAAAAGATGTAGAAAAGCAACTAACAAAATTAAACAGCAATTCATAATAAGAATATCCTCAAATTGATAAAGGACACCTATGAAACATCATCAGCCAACATCATACATAATGGTGAAAGAATGAATGCATTTCTCCTAAGATTGGGAACAAGATAAACGATGTTCACACACCACTTATTTTAGACCCTCTAATGGAGGTCCTAGCCAGTGCATTAAAAGAAAAAAGTACAAACAGTTTGGAAAGCAAGCATAACTTTATTGAGAGAAAACCCAATCACATAAAAAACACACATATAAAATATATTAATAGATTGAAAGACGTTATTGTTAAGATGTAACTTCTCCCGAAATAGATCTGGAAATTCTACTCTCTACCAATCAAATTCCAGCAAATTCCATTCTGGTTTTATATTCATTAATTAATCAACTCTAAAATTGATAGCCAATATAAAGGACCTGGAATGGGTAAAACAATTCTGAACGAAAGAGCAGCTTTAAAGGACAGTACACTGTCTGATTTTAGGAGTTAGGTTACAGCTGCCAAAATTGGACAGGATGATATGGGCATAAGGATAGATAGAAATCAATGGAACAATAAACAGTCTAGAAATAGACCACACAACCATAGTTAACTGATTTTCTATGAAGATAGACATACTATTTTTATAATAAGAAAAACAATTTAATGAAAAAAAAATAAACTTGATAAAGCTTTGTTTGTTTCAGTCCTGACTGTCACTTAACTCTCTGAAGCTCACTTTCTTCATGTGCACATTGAAGACGTGCTGATGACATAGACCACAACCATTAGTGTTGTTTAAACTAGTATTTACATCACTCGTTCAAGGGAAAGATCCCTTCAGGTAGATAATGTGGCTGTAGGTTTGAAAGGGCCCGGAAACATTAGAATATCATGACATCAGCATGTTGGTATTTTATCCTGTCACACCTGCTAATGTCTCTATTGCGAAATTATATATATATATTTTATTATGCTAGTAGTTGTTTAGATTTTTATTCATTTGTAAAAAATGCTGTTTAGTTGCCATGATAAGATAGGAATATAATAGAAGTCTCTCAAAAGTGGTCCTCTCTCTGCTGAGAACCTAATTATTTTACAGTAACAAGGAGAATGGCATTATTTCAAGGCATTTCTGGTTGGTTTTTGTTTAATATATGTTATTTAAGCATAAATTATTGACAGAATGATGTAAATTAAGTGTTTCATTATAGATATTCATATCACTTTCCAAGGGATAAAGGGAAGATAGTGTGAGCATAGGGAATAAAAAAATCAAAATATGAGATACATCTTATATATTAAGGCCTGGAAGCTGAAGTTTTGTTTTATTTGGGAAGACCAATGAGAACTGTAGTTTGTAAACTACCATGCCTAAGAATAAAGGCAAGCCAAATATTTCAGAGAATAGAAACTATGCGTGTGTTTACTTTGATATGTATGCTAGCTGTCCTTTTGGATGTAAAGTTGCTTTATTGTTTCCAACTATGTATAATTTTGTTTGGTGTATTTACCTATATAATAGAGGCATGTTAACAAAGTTAATAAATTTAAAAAATAAAGATACAGTTTGTAAAATAGCTTCTAGATACCTCACTTTCAAAATATTTGTCCTTTGGTTTAGTTGCTTTTTTTCTGTAGCCTAAGCAACAACGTTGTCTTTGATTATTATTTTTTGAAGAATAGGTGTAATGTAGTGTGGGAAATTAACAAATTAGATGAAAGAGATCAAATGTCGCCTTAGCTTTATAGACTCTCAGCCTCTACGGCGAGGTTGAATGTGTTACATTTAAATTCATGGAGCGTCAATTCCTGAAACGTCTTTCAAGGTTCTAGACAGTGTGCTGTTAATATTAATTACTATTTTATTGATGGGGCTACTGTGACTTGTGGCTTTTCATGGGGATTTAGGTGGAACTTTTCTCCACAGGGTATTAAACAGCTGTGTAAATGCTTTTTCCATTCTTATTTTTTACTTTGTCGTTTCATGTTTCATTTGTTTGGAATTGTGAATACTTATTTGGTAACAAGAATCTTCTTCCCATAGAGTCATTTTCCCACCTGCTTGGATTTTCTAGGCTGACTTCAACAAATAAGAAACATTAAAAGTTAGCATTCAGATTTTACCCTACCCTTCTCCAACAAGAGACAAAAAGATGAAGAAAGAATGGGAGAGATAAACAACCCATTACAATTACTGAAATGTATCAGATAATTATGACTTAATTTGTCGGATATTACATTTTAATATTCATAATAAAATATTTAAAATGTGAATTCATGTAAGTTAGAGTTCAAAGAATTAGTACAATGGGAATTGGTAAAGCACACTCTCATTTCTCCTTAAGATGTCATTAACAAATGTTATGTTATACATAAATCTAGGAAAATATGATAACGGGTAATTTGCTGTAAATCTTATCTTTCTATTTTTTCAGACTGTAATTGGCATAAAAATCCATTAAATAGGGTTTCCATGGTTGTTATTTCAGAATCCTCAAAGATAATCATTAGTAATACAAATACAGTTAAAATTCCAATGGGCTAAAACACTTTATTTGAGTGAGTTTGTGTGTATACCAGCTGAATTAATCTGACTTGAGATGAAACCAGAGACAAACAAACAAAATAGTTCTCTCTTTTAATATTGCATGAACATTGAAACCAAGCATTTCTATGTTCCCATCACATGGCTGTTATCAGTGGATAAAACAGAATAAAAATTATCATTCAGCGCTCTAGTCTTACATGCTATTTATATGTATATATTCTTTCCTTGCCCTCAGAAATTAAAACTGTAACATTAGTACATTAAAACATTTTAATGTAAGCTTATTATGATGATCCACTATTTAATTAAAAAACAGCAATTGGGGGTTGGTTATTTACAATTCAAAAAAAATCACAATATTTAAAATGGAATTAGAATTATATATACCTTTTAAATATATATTATATGTATTTCTTTTGTAAATATATATATATTTCTTTTTTAAAAGACTACTGAATAAAACACAGTAAAACTCAAAAAGGAGATAGGCCCCATTACCTTGTCTTTCATGGGTGTTTTACTCTCCAAAACACTCTTTCCCTCTCTCTCTCTCCTCTCCCTTACCATACAACTAATTAACTAATTATAAGCTGCCTCAAACAAAGCTTTTCTCTGTAATACAAGTGATTATAAAACAAAATAAATATCACTCAGCTTTCTTAATGTTTACATGAACAAATTAAAACTTCACGTATATCAATTTGAAATTCATTATCATTAAAATTAGAATTTAGAATCCTTTCTCGAAATATAATGAGTCAAAGACAAGAAGCGTTCTAGTTCTTGAGTGGAGTAATGGCATTAATTCTATGAGGCTAAACCTAAAAATATGTCCCAGATAACTTTGCTTCATTTCTCCTCTGTACTTGGAAATAATAATAAAGTTATATTTGAGTTAAGAATGAGGCAGGGAAGGAATTAGAAAAGGAGATAGTTCTGACTTCTTCCACCCCTACTCCCAATACTCTATAGAAATTAGTTGTTTTGTGCGCAAAGCAGGCTATTTGAATTACTTTCATATTTTACATTATTTTGATCATAGATATTTTGAATAACAGAGTTCACTGTGAATTCTTATTTTTGTAAATGTGTTAGAAACTTTTAACATAGTTAATTATGTTAAAATAATTTAATCTTTATAAAAAATGAAAAGAAATATATTTATTGACATTATGTATAGGAATAATTCTAATGGTAATGGATACAGTATCCTAATTTTTTAAATTGAAATTCATAATATTATATTATCAATCATGGTAATTGATACACCTATATTGTTTTTCTTGCAGTTTATCCAAAGAAATCTAGAAGGACAGAAGGAACATTGCAAAAAGGTGAACATTCATTTGTTTGTTAATTAGTAGAATTTACATAAGGAAATTCAATTCTCGCATTTCTCTGATGCTGGGTTCATCATAAATTCCTGTGATCTTTGAAATGCTATGTTGTTTCAATGGACATAATGAAAAAATTAGAAATAACATATATGATATTTGGTGGGGAAGGCTTCAAACACCGTATTGACTCCCAGTCTAATGCAGCATGATGTTTAGTGTTAGATCAATCATAATCCAGAGCCCCACACACGTTATTCTAACATCTCCCAAATGGCAATTTGGAGGTTGCTAGTCTTACATTTTAGTTCTCAGATCTCTAATCCCTTGGTAATCTCAGCACTGTGTGGCTTTAGCAAATTTCATCCAATATTCCCCCAAATGGATATATGTCTTTAAGGTGTCAACAGTCTATATGCAAGAGTAGGTGGAGATATATAACAATAATTGTTTTTTCCAACATTATTTAATTTGCATATTTTTTATTTTGTGATTTAAATTATTTTACTTATTGTTTATAATGAAAAATAATTACTTTTTTGTGAATATATTATATCAGCCCAAGAAAAATTGTTATCAACAGATCAAGAAAGCCACATTCCTGTTAATAAAGGTCTAGAAACTGATTTGGCCCAATTAACATTTATAGCATTTATCTTTGAATCAGAAAATATTGAATAAAGAGATCAAATTATTCAACTCAGGACATGAAAGAGCTACACAATTCAAAGTGTATTTTTATTGTACTGACTTTGATTTAATTGTTTGGGAAAGAGTGGAAAATTTCTGTGACTCACCGATAAACTTGATACAATTTATTGTTTGGAATTTGAATCAAAATTTATAAAATAAATTCAGCAGCAAAGATTGTACAAACAGCATAAGTGAATGTTTTTATTTACAAGTTTTAAAATATCTCCCTATAAATATTTAGATAATCTTGACAAAAATGTTCAATACTGCAATTAAATGAAAGTCTCATTATCTGTAATATCAAAGAATACAGCATATTTATAGCGTGTTTTGTACCAAGTAAAAGATGACATGTCTGTGAAAGGAAGGACCATTATTTAAATGTTAAGACATTTTTTAAAAAATGTAGAATCAGGAAAAAATTATATGCAGGTAGAGTTTACTATAAAATTATGCCGTATAATGTATATTTAGTGATTTAGGAATTAAATCATTCTTTTATTTTATTGCGGTCATAATAGTTTATAACATTGTGAAATTTCAGGTGTACATTATTATTTGTCAGTCACCATATATATGTGCCCTTTTACCCCTTATGCCCCCCCAACCCCCTTCCCCTATGGTAACTACTAATCTATTTGCTTTGTCCATGTGTTTATTTATCTTTCACATATGAGTGAAATCATGCAGTGTTTCTCTTTCTCTTTGTGGCTTATTTCACTTAAAATAATACCCTCAAGGTCCATCAATGTTGTAGCAATTGGTACAATTTTGTCTCTTTTTATGGCTGAGTAGTATTCCATTGTACGTATACCACATCTTCTTTATCAATTCATCAGTTGATGGGCACTTGGGTTGCTTCCATGTCTTGGCTATTGTGAATAGTGCTGCAGTGAATATAGAGGTGCATAAGTCTCTTTGAATAGTTGATTTCAAGTTCTTTGGATAAATACCAGTAGTGGGATTACTGGGTTGCATGATATTTCTATTTTTAATTTTTTGATGAATCTCCGTAATGTTTTCCATAGTGGCTGCACCAGTTTGCATTCCCACCAACAAGGCACGAGCATTCCTTTCTCTCCACATCCTCTCCAACATTTGTTATTTTTTGTCCTGGTAATTATAGCCATTCTAATGGGTGTAAAGTGATATCTCAGTGTAGTTTTGATTTGCATTTCCCTAATGATGAGTGATGTTGAATATCTTTTCATGTGCCTGTTGGTCATCTGTATATCTTCTTTGAAAAATGTCTGTTCATATCCTCTGCCCATTTTTTGATCATGTTGTTTGTTATTTTGTTGTTGAGTTATGTGAGTTCTTTATATATTTTGGAGATTAACTCCTTGTCAGATATATGATTTGCAAATATTTTCTCCCAGTAGGTGGGTTGTCTTTTCATTTTATTCATGGTTTCCTTTGCCTTGCAAAAGCTCTTTAGTCTGTTGATTTCCCATTTGTTTATTTTTTCTTTTGTTTCCCTTGCCTGAGTAGACATGCTATTCGAAAAGATATTGCTAAGGTTGATGTCAAAGAGTGTACTGCTTGTATTTCTTCTAGGAGTTTTGTGGTTTCACCTCTTACCTGTAAGTCTTTAATTAATTTTGAGTTAATTTTTGTGTATGGCTAAAGATAATGGTATACTTTCATTCTTTTGCATGCGGCTGTCCAGTTTTCCCAACACCATTTATAGAACTTTCTCCATCCTATGTTTATAGCTCCTTTGTCAAAGATTAGCTGTCTGTAGATGTGTGGTTAAATTTCTGGGCTTTCAATTCTGTTCCATTGACCTGTTTGTCTGTTTCTGTGCCAGTACCATGCTGTTTTGATTACTATAGCTTTGTATTGTATTGTGGTGCCTCCACCTTTGTTCTTTTTTCTCAGGATTGCTTTAGCTATTCAGAATCTTTTGTTGCCCCAAATGAATTTTGGGATTCTTTGTTCTCTTTCCATGAAGAACGCCATTGGGATTCTAACTGGGATTGAGTTGAATCTGTAGATTGCTTTAGGTAGTAGGGACATTTTAACTATTTTTATTCTTCCAATCCATGTGCATGGAATATCATTCCATTTGTTTGCATCATCATCGATTTCTTTCAATAATGTCTGATAGTTTTCCGTGAGTAGGTCTTTTACCTCCTTGGTTAAATTTTATGCTAGATATTTTATTCTTTTTGTTTTGATTGTAAATGAGATTATATTCTTGACTTCTCTTTTTGTTAGTTTGTTATTAGAGTATAGAAATGCAAGAGATTTTTGTAGTTGATTTTGTACTCTGCAACTTTGCTGTAGTAGTTGATTATTTGTAATTTTTTTTTGATGGATTCTTTAGGGTTTTCTATATATAGAATCATGTTGTCTGCAAACAGCGAGAATTTCATTTCTTCATTGCCAATTTGGATACCTTTTATTCCTTTTTCTTGCCCAATTGTTCTGGCCAAAACTTCCAGTACTAAGTTGAATAAGAGTGGTAAGTGTGGGCACCCTTGTCTCAGAGGGATGGCTTTCAGTTTTTCCCCATTGCATATGATGTTGACTATGAGTTTATTATTTTGAGGAATTTTCCTTCAATACCCATTTTATTCAGAGTTTTTATCATAAATGGATGTTGGATCTTGTCAAATGCTTCCTCTGCATCTATTGAGATGATCATGTGGTTTTATTCCTCATTTTGTTAATGTGTATTGCATTGATTGATTTGCGGATGTTGAACCATCCCTGCATCCCTGATGTAAATCCCACTTCATCATGGTGTGTGATCCTTTTAATGTAGTTCTGTATTTGGTTTTCCAATATTTTTTTGAGGATTTTTGCATCTATGTTCATCAGTGATATTGGCCTGTAATTTTCTTTCTTTGCATTGTCCTTTTCTGGCTTTAAGATCAGAGTGATGTTGGCCTCATAGAATGAGTTAGGAAGTGTTCCATCTTCTATTTTTTGGAATAGTTTGGAAGAAAAAGGTATTAAATCCTCTTTAAATATTTGGTAGAATTCTCCAGAGATGCCATCTGGTCCTGGACTTTTATTTTGGGGGAGGATTTTGATTACTGATTCAATCTCTTTACTTGTTATTGGTCTATTCAGATTCTCTATTCTCGATTCAGTTTTGGGAAGTTATATGGGTCTAAGAATTTTCCAATTCCTTCTAGATTATCCAATTTGTTGGCATATAGTTTTTCAGAGTATTCTCTTATAATCCTTTGTATTTCTGTGGTATCTGTTGTAATGTCTCCTCTTTCATTTCTAATTTTATTTATTTGAGGCTTCTGTTTTTCTTGGTGAGTCTGGCTACAGGTTTGTCAATTTTCTTTATCTTCTCTAAGATAAAGTCTCAAAAACCAGCTCTTAGTTTCATTGAGCCTTTCTACTGTTTTTTTTTGGTTTCTATTTTATTTATTTCTGCTCTAATTTTTATTATTTCCTTCCTTTTGCTGACTTTGGGCTTTATATGTTCTTCTTCTAGTTCTGTTAAGTGTAGTTTAAGATTGCTTATTTGAGATTTTTCTTTTTTGTTAAGGTAGTCCTGTATTGCTATGAATTTCCCTCTTAGGACCACTTTTGCTGCAACCCATATGAGTTGTTATAGTGTATCTTCATTTTCATTTTTCTCCAAATATTTTTTGATTTCTTCTTTAAATTCTTCTATGATCCCTCAGTTGTTCAGTACCATGTTGTTTAGTCTCCACATATCTGTCACTTTCCCAGCTTTTTTCTTGTGGTTGATTTCTAGTTTCATTGCATTATGGTCAGAAAAGATGCTTTGTAGGATTTCAGTCTTCTTAAATTTATTGGGGCTTGCTTTGTTTCTCAACATATAATCTATCTTTGAGAATGCTCGATGTGCCCTTGAGAAGAATTTATATTCTGCTGCTTTTGGATGGAGTGTTCTATATATATCTATTAAGTCCATTTGGTCTACTTTTTCATTTAATTTCACTATTTCCTTGTTGACTTTCTGTCTGGATGACCTATCTGTTGAAGTAAATGGGGTGTTGAGGTCCCCTACTATTATTGTGTTGCTGTTAATTTCTCCTTTTAGGTGTGTTAATAGTTGCTTTATGTGCTTTGGTGCTCCCATATTAGGTGAATATATATTTCTAAATGTTATATCCTCTCAGTGGAGTGTCCCTTTTATCATTATATACTGTTCATCTGTGTCTCTCATTGTGTTTTTTATCTTGAAGTCTACTCTGTCTGATATAATCATGGCAACATCTACGTTCTTTTGTTTGCCCTTAACTTGGAGTATCATCTTCCATCCCTTCACTCTGAGACTGTTTTTGTCTTTAGAGCTGAGATGCGTTTCCTGGATGCAGCATATTATCAGGTCTTTTTTTTAATCCATCCAGCCACTCTGTGACTTTTGATTGAGGAATTCAATCTATTTACATTTAGAGTAATTATTGATATATGAGGATTTAATACTGCCATTTTATCACTTGTTTTCTGGTTGTTCCATATTTCCCTGCTTCTCATCCCATGTATTACCAACTGCCAGTTCAGTTTGATGAACTGAACTGTATGAACAGTATGATGGCTTTTTCAGTTTTCCTCTTTTTTATCATTTGTATCTCTGTTCTGATTTTTTGTTTAGTGTTTAATGTGAGGTTTATATAAAAGATCTCATAGACAAGATAGTCCATTTTCTAATAGCCTCTTATTTCCGTAGTCTAAGCAGGTTCCATCCCTTTTCTCTTCCCCATCTAAGTTATCGTTGTTACAACTTATTGCATTTTGTGTTATGAGTTTGTGATTAAAATCAAGTGATTATTGTTATTTTTGATGCTTTCCTTCCCTTTATCTTTAATGTTTTAGTTAGGTGTTTGCTAACCTGTTCTGACAGAGAACTGCAGTTTTCTGATTTTATCTGTCTATTTATCTCTTTGCTCAAGGCTTTTTAAAGTCTTTCTCTTTTTTTTCAGTTATGAGGGCCTTCTTGATCCTTTCTTGTAGTCGGGGTCTTGTGGCAATTAACTCTGTCAGCTTTTGTTTATCTGGGAAAGTTTTTATTTCTCTATTGTATTTGAAGGATAGTTTTGCTGGATAGAGTATTCTTGGCTGAAAGTGTTTGTCTTTCAGAATTTTGAATAGGTCATTCCGCTATCTCCTAGCCTGTAAGATTTATGCTGAAAAATTTGCTGAAAGCCTGATATAGGCCTTCCTCTATAAGTTATTTTCATTTGCCTTGTTGCCCTTAATATTTTTTCTTTGTCATTGACTTTTGCCAGTTTTACTACTATATGCCTTGGAAAAAGTCTTTTTATGTTGATATAACTAGCAGTTCTATTAACTTCATTTACACATACTTCCAGCTTCTTCCCAAGATTTGGAAAGTTCTCAGCAGTTATTTCTTTGAACAAACTCTCTACTCCTTTCTCCCTCTCTTCTTCCTCTGGAATACCTATAATCCTTATGTTGCATTTCCTAATTGAGTTAGATGTTTCTTGGAGAGTTTCTTCATTTCTTTTTGTTCTTAGCTCTCTCTCTCCTCCATCTGCAGCATTTCTATATTTATGTCCTCTAAATTACTCGTTCTGTCCTCCATTATATCAGCTCTATTTTTTAAGGGCTCTAGATTTTCCTTTATCTCATTCGTTGTGTTTTTCATCTCCAACATTTCTGATTTTTTTTTATTGTTTCAATCTCATTTGTGAAGAATTCCTTCTGTACGTTAATTTTATTCCCAAGATCATTAAACTGTCTTTCTGAGTTTTCTTGTAACTTTTTAAGCTTCTTTCTGAGAGCTATTTTGAATTCTCTGTCATTTAGATTGTAAATTTCTGTGATTTCAGGATTGATTTCTGGGTACTTGTCATTTTCCTTCTGATCTGGAGTTTTAATATACCTCTTCATGCTATTCCATGGGGTGAACTTTTGCCATTGCATAGTGGTAGTATCTGGTAGCAGATTCCACCTGCCACCACTGGGGTGGGGGGTCAGGAGCTGTGTCTTCTGAGCTCTCTGCAACCCCTGGCAGATGTGACTGTCTATTGGAAGCTCTGCTGACTGGACCTATCTGTGTTTGCCTGCTGGCTGCTGCTGCTTTACACCCATATGTGAAGCCATTTTGGAGTGATCCCCTCTTCTGAATGACTGGCTGAGCTGGTGGACCAGGCAGGAGGGGAGGATGGGTGCTTTCTTTCACATGCACAATACCACATGTCCCTGCTCTGCACTCACTGTCTGCCAGCTTGGACTACTTGACTTGGTGTAGGCACCCCCACGATTGCTTAGCTGCCTCAGTGTGGATCAGTCCCACAGGCTGGGAGGCAACTCCAAGAGCTCATGTGTTCCCATGAAGAGCTACCTTTTCTCCCTTCTCCTCTCAGTATCATGCACCAGCCACTGGCAAGGTCCCACACCTTAGATTGCCACCACTCAGGGAGGGAGGGGAGGTCTCCTTACCTCTTTCCACTGCCTTCTGTGGGGTTCCTGCACTACCACCTTCATACATATGACTGTGTCGATCTCTCAGACATCTATGATGTTGTGAGAATGTCCTCTGTTTGTTTATGAATGTCCTTTTCATTATGTCTTAGCAGGGAGAGACTACGGGAAGAGCTCACTCTGCAGTGATATTGATGTCACAATTTCAATCATTCTTAATTGAGATTATACATGAAAGTTAGAGAATAAAGTTATAATAACATTCACATGAGTGTTAAAAATGTTCAGATGTTAAAACAAATTCGTAATAAAGACCTCTAAGCACATCAATTTGAAATTAACATTGTGATATGCTTCCTAGAATCAGCATTGGAACAGTTATAAAGACAATGGAATTCTTTACCACTCCTTCAAAAGAAAGTTTGGTTTAAGACAATTGCCAAGTATGCAGCCTCAAGCAAAAGATAATAGTGAAAATCATGTGGCTTGTGGAAATTGGTGTATAGCTTAAAGTCTGCATTCTGTGTTAGTTTTAACTGAGCATCAATTTAGAGCAAAGATTGTGTATGCAGATTCAATATGAATGTTACTTTATTTACATGAGGAATATCAGTCATGAATTTCTTGATTTGTAACGATAGTATTTTAAACAGTAGGCCTAAGCAGAATTATTTTACAAGTGTGATATTTCGACTTTGTCCTAAAATAAATTTATGTCCTAGAATGGGCCTCATAAATAGTATGAACTTCCAGTTGTAAAATTCCTTAATTATACTTTTCAGCATAACTTGCTACTGTTTTCTGTTCCTTATATGCAATATTTTTTACCTACTTCCTTTTGTTAAACTTAGAATTATTATATTCTCTATTAAGATAATTTAAAATTTCATAAGAAGTACATACTAAGACCAAAACAAATCAAAATGAAAGTAATTGAATATATTTTTTCTTTTTCTTATAAAAAACTATTATAAAAATTTAAAGAGTTGTTTTCTTTCCTTGTCCCATATATTAAACTTAACTACAAATTGTTACTATGGGAATAATAGGAACATTCACTTTGAGAAATGAATCAATAAATGATAAGCAAAATAATTTTCAAATTGGTACTCTGAGAACTTATAGAAAATGGATATTTTATACTATTAAAATAGTATGTTTTATTTAATAAAACAATTTTTATGGGAGATTGGTTTTTCTGAAGGTCTGCAACTATTGTAGAAATTACTAAAACATTCTTTTTATAATAAAAACCTCATGAGTATTGCTTCCCTGAGCTAGAAGAGCAAGTTGCTTTAAGATGCAAAAAGATACCACAGTTCATTTTGGCCGCTATGGTAATATAGTTTTTTACAGTATAGTAATTTTGCAGCAAAAAAAGGGGGAAATCGGAAGTTTGCCCTAAAATATTCAAGCCCAATATGTCTTGCAATCGTAATAATTTTGAAAGCAAATTCAATTCTCTCTTTACAGAGTATGAAGGCAGACAAAGCTTGTAATATAGATCACAGTGGCACAACTTTTGTGACAGCTGTGTTTAGCCAGGTTTGGAGCACTATCAAAGAATGGGTCTTGGACTTTTTCAAAAGCCTCTCCGATCCCTGAACATGTATTTCCTTTCTGCCTCTGTACTGTTGGAGTCATTCCAATGACTGGAAGAAGAAAAGTAAGAGGCACAGTGGTAGAGGATATCATGCGTAATACAGATATTCAGGAACTTTCTAAGAATAGCCATGAAAGCTTCCATACCCCTTAAAGTTTCTTCTCCAGTTTCTTTTTTGGAAACCATTCTTAACGAAGCAACATATTACATGTGTTTCCCTAATGAGATCACACACCTAAAAAATACAAAATATTCATAGATCTTTCCTTATAGTCAATGCCCATAAGCTTAATAAAAATAATTAAACCAAATTTTTGCCATAAAACTTTGTATTTCCAAACCAAGCATAAAATTACCCAATATCTTTTATTCTCTCAAATCATGGAATAGTTGATAGTTAATGCCCTATTAATTTACTAAGAGAAATTTAAAAATTGAAATTCCATTAGCAAGAACATGTAACAATAGTTACATCTTCTATTTGTCACAGTAGGTATAGTAGATAATCTTAATATTGTACAGTTGTGGATAAAGTTATATTTTTACCTCTTACCTTTAAATTTTCGTATTTACTCCATAAATATCTTCAACATAACAAGTTATTTATATATTTAATTAAAATAATTAAATTATTCACAAATAAGATTATTGCTTTCTGACATTTTTATAATTTCTAGAAAAGCCAGATTTCTGCTTTTTGGAAGAAGATGCTGGAATCTGTCGAGGTTATATTACTAGGTATTTCTATAACAATCAGTCAAAGCAGTGTGAACGCTTCAAGTATGGTGGGTGCCTCGGCAATCTGAACAACTTTGATTCTTTGGAAGAATGCAAGAACGCTTGCGAGGATGCATGTAAGTTTGTTTCTCATCTCATCTTACTTTATTTATAACCATTCTTTTAAAAATAAGACATCTGAGAGGATGTTGAAGTTTACCCAGATTTTGTTTCAGCCATACAAATGAAGATACATTTGTATTCACTAAATCTGATAGAAATTAGTCATGATGTTAAATTTTTTAAATAAAAGCACAGATAATTAAGAAATCTAACTATAGTGGAAATTGTTTTCATAGATCTGACATTTTTTTTCAGGTTGTATTATTTAATTTTCCTTCCTGAGAATACTATAGCATAATTTAGGCACAAGAGTAGGACTGCTGAAATCCCTTAGGTTTATAACAATTTGAGAGCGAATAGTTCTTTGGAACCTACCACTAAAATCAGTCGGTTTTATCTGACCATAAAATTTATTAAAGAAATAACTTAAACATTAACTGTTATATCTTTTTTGACCAAGAGCCGCAAAGTTACTGGGGGAAATATTATCTTATCATATACATAATATTATCTTATATATATCATATGTTTTTAAAGATTCACTGTTTACTAATTTAGCATAGCAAAGTGAGTAAAATTTCTAGAAGTCTACCTTTCTTCACACAACTGCTGTGCTTTGCTTTATGTGTACAATTACAAGCTTGCGACAATGTCTATTTTAACTGGCTATATTTTTTCCAGTGAATGATTTCCAGGTGGATGATCATAGAACCCAGATTAATGCTGTGAATAATGACTCCTTGACTCCCCAGCCTACCAAGGTTCCCAACTTTTGGGGTAAGAATCTCATTTTTTTAAATTGCTGCCAGAGAAATATTACCACGGTAACAATAGAAGTGGAATGTGTATTAGAACTGTGCTTTAAAAAAAATTATACCTGTTTGTATTTAATAAAAAATGTGTTGAAATACTGAGATTCAAAATGTTTAAGGCATTTGATCTCATAAAAGTGACAATTTTCCTAATCTATTTACAGTATGCTTTGAAGTAGGCTTTTAATTACGTATCACATGAAAACTTTCATATGATATTTATCTCTATGCCAAATTCATTGTATAAAATAATGCTAGGAACGTCAGCCTCAGTGTCTGAGGGTAAATCACTATAATAGCAGCAGTGTGCCATGGGCAGTCTAAGGCACTCTTAAACTGAGCATGGCATTGGGCGTGGTCTCTGGTGTCAGTCACAAGGCAGATTAGGAATTTGTTGAGTAACTATCCCCAAAGGTTATGTCACACTAAAGGGAATTTTCTTTTGGGCTTCTGCAGAACCCTTTTCTGGGTTCTACTCTGTCAACATACTTATCAAATTTAAATAAACATACAAGAAATATGCTCACAAAAATGGAGAGCTGGGAAAATACTGAAAAATTTGGAAAACATAACCAGAAACCACAAATATCTAGGCAGTTAGAAACAACGTGAAAATCTGAAAGTTAACAGGATAAATGTAAGGTCCTACCTAAATTTTAAAAACCACATGTGTTCATAGAGGAGTTGAAGATTCTCATTAGAGGCAGTCCATGTGAAAGTGTTAAATGTGAACTTGGCATGAATTGAAAGAGTTCTGTGACTATTAAAATTGCAACCTGAGGGTAAAAGGAGATCTTTGTGTCTGGACCAGAGATTCTCCACCCTGGCCATGTGTCAGCATCAGATGGGGTTCAGAATCAGAATGTCTTTGAGTTTCTCCCTTTACAACAAGTAAATAAGCACATGTGCCCAGCTGGATTATAAAGTACTGCAAATGTTGGCTATGATTTATTTAGAATGAAGGATGTAGGTGTCTGGCTTAGTCACACACTGACCTGATCATGCCTGTGGGACTTGCTTCAGCCCTGAATGCCATACCTTAGAAGTCACAAAGAGAACTGGAAACATGTTTATAGAAGCACTGGAAAGTGTAAGGAGGCATGAGATCTTAGAGGGAACATTATATATGCTCTCAGGACTTGAAACACTATCATGGAAGGAAGAATTGAGTATTGTACGTGCCTCAGTCCTCTCCATTTTAATCCCCACTGCCACTACCACATCCCCATCCTTCCTTCTTATCTCCATCAGCCCAACCTAAGAATCACGCTGCACATATGAAATCTAAAGTACAAATTTCTTTCTGTAAAGTGTTTATTTTTAATATGAGAACTTCAAAAAGGAATGGGTGCCTCAGGGATTAAATTCCCTAAATTTTAGGCATTCAAGCTGTGTTCTAATAGCAGCTGAGATGTCACAGAGGGCATGCAAAGTTTCAGTGGGACTTGGACAATATGGTGTCTTCAAAGTGCCTTGAGATCCTTAGATTCTATAATTAGAGCAGTGAATTCAAACCAGATGAATTTGAGTCTCATTTTTAAACACTACTTTGTTTGTAATAATGATAGTATCTTTGTAGTTCTGATTTTTTTATCTGTAAAATTAAGTAATTTCATTGCATTGTTTCTTCGTGCCCTTCCAGCCCTGTGTCTTTCAGTGACATTTTGTTTAACTAGTTAAATATCATATGTTGAAAAGCATGCTCAATCTTATTGCTGTGGAAGAGGGGAAAGTTTAGAATGGCAAATTTATTAATGAGTTTAAAGGCAGATGAGATATAACAATATATCTACAAATAAAAGAAATGCATGAAATCAGTTTTCAATATGTTTCAACATTTTTTATTTGGGTTACTTTACTAATCCCAATAGAGATCTTCAGTCATTTATCAGTAAAATGAGTATAGTAGGTTAGGGGGTGGTTTTGCCTTGAACTTTTATGAAGTACAAAACTCATGATTTTTACAGGCATAATACCAAAATAGCAAGGGGGGAAATAAAGAGCATACATGTGAGAAAGTAAATGTTTTAAATACTGATATATGTCCTAAGTTTTTATGCAAATACACACTAAAAAGTGTAATAAGTAAATTAACGGTCATAAGAGTAAATTATTAACTAAGGAAGCAGTGAAAGTTCACAACATGAATTTAAAGGAAAACAGATTAAGAGGATTTTTCTTTAAAGCAAGAGGCATTTAAGGAATAATTCATAGTGATCTGCATTTAAAATTAGGACCACTGGTCTCCTTTATTCGTCTAAAACTATTTTATTTTTTTATTGTATATATTTGCCTCAAAGTCTAAATTCCTTTAGCCAATTTGATCCCTTTTCCTCCTTTTTTTGGAGCATTCTTTTCTTATTCTTTTGTAACGTTCCTAATTGAAAACATGAAATAATGTTGCAATAACTACTATGAGAAGTTCGATACAAAGGCTGGCTTAAGCATCAAGTGACAATGAAGCCCTGCCTCCACTCTTCAAAAGACCGACATGATCCCGTATTCACCCCATCCAAATTGTGAAAGGTGGGCATACAGCGTCTCTTTCTCTGCTATCTAAGACCTAGATTATCCCTCCTCCACCCCATATAGATGACAGAGTATAGAAAGGAAATTGTGCCCCACTCTTCCTATACCTATACCTAATCCATTCCCCACTCCATCAAAGGGCATTGCTCAGGTCTGTGAAGACACTCGATATTCCAGCTCAAAAATAATTATATCTGTCACTGCTTGCAATTATATTACTATGTTCTATTATAATTTAAGAAAATACAGCTTTATGTTTGTGTGAGACCTTGTTCAAGGTTTTAGCCAATATGTAAGGTTCTCTGTGGGTATTAGCATCTTTTGCAAAGATGTAAATTCTTTAAGGTTCCAATTCAGTTTGCAGGAATGACAGCATGCCCACCACACAAATAGAATAGCATTCTCTTAAAATTCTTTCCATTAAGTAACAATCCTTAGGTAGAGTATTTGAATATTTCAAAAATACAGCTAGATTGTATTACTGTTCTTAAGTGAAATATATATAAATATATTTTGTAAATATATGTTTCTCTTCATGATGATACTAGAAAAGCATTTTAGAAGTTTTGTTCAATGTTACTAGAAAATGGTTTGGTAATTTTTAAAAATTATTATTCATTCTTAACTACCATAATGTTGCAAATGAGCTTGAGAATATATTTTTTCCAATGAGCCTTCTTGACTCAAGATATTTGAATGCTTATTGAATGCACAGTTGGGGTTTAATTTTCTCCCTTTCATCTCCATATTTCTATATTAGTAGACTACTTTGATGATCTCTAAGATTGAGCCTTACTCTTCCTTAAATAAATTTTTATAAAATGTTTTGTAAGCATGTCCCTGTGAACAAGAGCAAATTATTTGAGTTTGATTGGCTGAATTATGAGCATATCCATGTAGCTTCAATAAATGTTTGTTCTCACCACGTGTGACAGAAGTAATTCTGAAACAATCTCTCTAAATGTGTGCAGTTCTGTGCATAATCTTCAAAATGAAAGACTACCATAATTGGTTCTTCTTGATGTCCCCCCTGTGGTTGGCATTATAATATAGCAGCTGAGAGAAAAGACTCTGGCCCTGAAGACTTGGGCTCAAGTCCCAGTTCATCCACTTACCAGCTGTGCAATCTTATAATACTTCTTAACCTCTCTGAACCTCATTTTCCTATTGTAAAGTGAGGATGGTAATAACGTAGTACTTACCTCATCAGTTTTGTTGCGAGGTGAAATCAGTCTGTATGCATAGCTTGCTTAGGACAGTGCCTGATACCTAGTCAGCGCTATAGAAGTGTTATTATTTGTTATTATGACCCACATGCTTCAGAGCAATACGCTTCACTTCCCAGCGCTTGGTTTCTCATCTGTCAAACAACTCTTTGTAAGTTCCCATTTGCAGGAGAAGTTCATGTTTCAGACACTTATAAAATCTCTAATTATTCAGATAAAGGCATCAGTACAAACATAGTCACAAAATTACAATAAGCCCTTAAAAGAGAATATACAATAGAACTAAGTTAATAGATATATGGAAATTTCAACAGTTCAAATGTGTTTACTAGAAACAGGCTGAGAATACTGACATGCAGAACAATCATGGGGCTTTGAAGCCAAAAGAACTTTACTTATATAATTTTTCTCTTTTTCAATATTTCCAGCTTTCCAAACTTTCAGAGTGTTGCCACTATTTTTTCGATTATTCCAGCTTTAGCATTTTGTAACGTCCTTTGATCACTTCTCTTCTTCTAGTCAGTCCTTAAATTCTATTGTTTTTTTCTGACAAAATATCCATTCCTGTCTTCTCCATTTTCAGTCTCACCTGTTTTGTTCAGACTATCAATCCTTCATGTTTAGATTAACTCAACGATCATTTATCAGCCAAACTGGGGCACTAATGAAAATAAAAGGGGGATGCTAAAAAATTATCTATTCTAAATATATATGTATAGACAGAAAGTTGGATTTTTAATTTGATGGATATGTAAAATAGTTTTATTTAAAAACTATTTCAACTTTTTAAAAATCACATATATGTTGGGACATGGTATACCAAAAAAATAAGCATGAACTAATACTGGCTCAGGCAAACCATGTGGTATAGACAATAGATACATAGATGATTGATGATAGATATAGAGGAGGGGGGAGAAGAGGAGAGAGGGAGAGAGAGAGAAAAAAGATAGACGATAAATATCACAGAGATCAGATATAACTCAGATATACTATATACATATATTATTAATATATATAGTCAGATATCAAACATAAGTCAAAATATATGTATGTATATATGTGTGTAGAAAGAGAGACAGAGGATGAGAGAGTCATATATGACATGTATCAGATATGATCTTTTTGACGTCACTGTCCTACTCCCATACATCCATCGTGTTTGGGTCAGACTATCTTTAATCAAACAAGTTTATATCTCTCTCTTGCTTTAGAGAAAAATTTTTTAAAAACTTAATGGAAACATTCTTTCTCTGTGTTCATTTAGTCTCATCCACTTGACTTAAATTTGTCGGCAACATCTGTCAGCCCTCTACCTGTTCCAGATTTTGTCTCACCATCCTTTAAACAGGAATTTTCTTTGTCCATTCTGAATAGACATTGTCATTAAACACAAATTATCCACTGTTCATTATTACCAAATACAAATTATCCATTCTCATTCCACATGATGTTTTGTGTGGTTTCTCCCACCTAAAATCCCCTGGCCGTCCTCATCTTATCTAAGCTGCCTTTTCACCGCCACAGGGAAGTCTTCCTCTCTCTGTCTCCTGGCTTCCTGGTTTGATTCGTTTGATACTTAGATTATTTGATGTTGTGTTAGCTCTGTCGCACTGACTAGATTACAAGTTTTTTAGGAAAGAGACCAGGTATTATATATTTTGTAGAACTCCCCTCCTCCAGCGTCTCACACAGTCTTAGGCACAAGACAGATGACTTACGTTTTTTATTAATTTTGTGATCCACAGTTACAAAAGAAAGAACAAATGATGGTTGGAAGAATGCGGATCATACTTACCAAGTCTTTCTGAATGCCTTCTTCATTCATGCATCCATGTTCATTTTAGGATTAGGTAGCGTTTTACGCATATGTTAATGTTTGTGCTTTGACATTTCTTTAATATTTATATGGTATATGTGATGCCTTTGATAGCATACAATTAATAAAGTTTTAATATTTCCATGCATAGAGTTAATATTTTCCTCTCAATATATCTCATTGGTAAATGCCTAACTAGCAAACAAAAATTAATGTTCTCAAATGTTCATACTGGTTATGGGCCTTTTGAGTGGACCTGAGCCATTCACGAAAAAGGTGAGTTATTTTCTTGATTGTTATAGTTCCCTTCGCTTCTATGTATCAACTTTAATAGCTGTCTTGGGACTACATCAGCTTTATGATATTTTGGGAAAAAAAAAAATCTTTGAATAGACTTCAAAACCCTACTGCCAACCCAATCTGATACTTGCTTTCGGACTGAGAAAAGGAAGACCAATCTACCTGACCTAGTTCCTCATTGCTTCCCGGCAGCCTCCAGGTCAAGGGAAAATGATTGGATGTCATTCTGAAGACCATCTGGGTGCTTGGAGCTCTCTCTCTTTCCTGACTGTATTCAATGTATGATCTAGTGGCTAGATGCCATATATACGTGAAAAAAATAGGAAGAAAGGAAAAACATATATATACACACACACACATCACACACACACATGCATACGTACACTTCTTTTTAAAATTTTTTTGTTATTATTGGCCCTCTAAAGGAGGTGTTATGCTGACAAATTGCCTGATTGTCAGCCAAACACCATCCCTGATATAGTCATTTACAGATTCGCAAGAGAATATTGTTACCTATTTGGCCTCTTGTTGAAGCTATGATTACATATAGAAGAATATCACAACCATGGAAATTTTCTGGAAAGAAAATATCCCCCATCAACTATAGAGTTACACACTTAGCAGCATACCATGGTTAATCACTAGCACCATCAACAATTCTGAAAAACCCTAATTCATCAACAACCCACTTCCATAGTCCCAAAGAAGTATCTTGTTTTTCATAACGTATTTTCAAACCAAGAAGCATAGAACCTTCTCTGATAGTCTAAATATGCCTGCATGGTGAATCTGGTTCCTCATATGTTGATTTTCTGACAAGCTGGCTTTCCAAAAATAGATAGTAATGTGTAGAGAGAATCCATCAGACCTCCTACTTCCTGGCAGGAGAGCTGGTGAGAAACAAAAATGTAGCACTTCATTTCTGCCAAGATTGCTGCCATTCAAATAAGTCACCCTGGTGACCACGGACTGCTTTTGCTAATCCCTTTCTTCCTGGACCCATCTCTGGTTTTAACAAGGATGAATTTTTTACGTCAGTCGTAAGATTCCTCCAGGGAAGTGTTTCTAAAACTTGAATAATATACAGATACATTTAAAAGAGAAAAATCACAGACTTCCAATTTGTAAGCCAAATTATTTTGAATGACATTAATTTTACATGAACAAGTAAAATAGTAGGAATAAACTACGCATGTGACTGCTTGAAAACTATATCAAAACTTATTCACAAATGAATATAATACAAAATACAAACTACTAAATTAATAATAGTAATTTGATGGCACGTGCTTTTTGCTAAAGGTAAAAATCTCTATTATAATATGAATTTGGTATTGACTGCTAAGGGCAAGTTAGGAATGTGGTTGGAATAGGATAGAAAAACTGCTGCTCTGTGTCCTGTGTAATTCTCTGACTGCCCTTTTGCTATTTGAATACTGGACAATCTTTGCAGGAATGAATTTGAAAAGCATTGATATAAAATGTCTTGGTTAGGAAAATCTCAACTCTATCTTTCTAGGGACAGAGCAGAATGAGGTTTCTAGTTGTCTATCACAACCTAATGCCATTAAATGGATCTGGCTGGCCAGTACAAACATGATCACAGAGTGCAGTAAAGCCTGGAACTTTGGTCTGTGATTTGTAGAATCAGTCCATGTTGAACATGGTAACCCAGTAATTCTTGCCTTCAAATGTTGGAGTACTGAATACGGTTTGGCTCAGAACAGTTACTCCCAAGACTGTTTCCAGCTTCCTTGTTTGATGACCTATTTTGGTTAGATCTTTGTCCTGTTCAGACTTGGGAAACTCTAACTCGATGCATGTAACTGAGGGAGGGAAGCGTCTAAGACATTCTGAACCTGAGTTGGAAAGAAGAGATAATTTTGGGATCAGATATAAAGGAGAAGATGTGACAACTTTATCTGATAATTATTAAAATATCTTTGCTCAGTTATTTTTATTTTCTAGTTAATTTTCAAATGACATAGCATAGTGGTTAAGAGCATTAGCTTTATGAGCAGAAAGATGTGGGTTTCAATTCCACTTCTGCTGTTTGTCAACTCTCTCTGTGGCCTTGAAACAAATTACACAACTCTTAGCCTTGGGTTCCTCATTTGTTATATGCAGAGAGTAATATCTCTGAAAATTTTTGTGAAGATTGTGATGACATATATAAAATTCTTAACCCAGTGTTTAGTACTCAATAAGAGCTCAAAAGTATTAATATTTGAGGGTTTTTTATGATATTTATGATGATCACCCATGTCAACAGAAGTTTACAGCAGGAAAAAAATAAATAATCAGGGAAATTATTTGTATACATTTTATTAGTGATAATTTTTTAGTGAAACTAAAGTCCGTAACCTTGATCTGAAATATCCTCATTTTTACTTAATACTATGATTACCTGAAATAACATAAAGCACTTGTAAAATTCAAACATAATTATAAACTACTAATACATGTTTTCTGTCTTTGGATCTTATCTCTAAACAGAGGACTTGCAAACCTGTTTCCAACTTTGTCTTATGACCTGAGGTACAGATGTGTTATTCTTCTTAATTTCAGTTCAGTTCAATAAATATTGGGTGCCTCCTACAAAACAAGAATTGTCATGGACACTGGGAGTCTGAGAAGAATAAAGAGGGTGTTGTTGTCCTTACAGGCATGTCTGAAATCAGGGAAGGAGATAGACACATAGATGATTTCAATGGCTATGTTACCTGCTCAGACACAGACCTGCACAAGTGTTATGGTAGGATGGAGTCATGATGTTGTACTTCCACTGAAGTACAGAATTAATCATGATATTGTTCTTCCATTGAAGTCAAAATTAAAATTTTCTGTCTTCTCAAAACCTGGGTTCTATCTTCGATCTAACATCTTGGACCTGTTTGCCTAGATGCTGGCTGATCCACGGGCTTAGTTCACAATTTCATCTTCATTCAGGGATTTTTCTATGTAAAGCCACAATGAAAGAAAGCCATGCTAAAATTGCAACTTATGAAACTATCATGACTGTAGTTTCTATTATAATTATGTTTCATAATAAATTAAAAAAATATTGCATCTTGTAAGTCAACTAGTCTAGAAATATTTCAATTATCCTCCCTCTAAGTGTCTGTCTCCCTTGCCCACATTCAATCTGGTGCTTAATTTCAGCTATTCCCACTGTAACTGCTTTAGTTAGGGAGTTAGGGTCACCTTATATTCGCCTCTATTGCACGTCTCCTAGTGGATTCAACCAACCCATGCCTGGTTGAGTTTGCTTCACGAACCAAGAAAGAACAGAACTTGTGTCCTTCATCCTTCAGTACTTTCAGTGGTGTATTAATGTCTACATCATAAATCCAAATATAGTAGCATTCAAAGACCTTCTTTATTTGGCCTAAATCTACTTTTCCAGCTTTGCATCCCACTGGACTCTCCATGCACTCTGTTCTTCAGATAGCCCAGAGTTTGCAGAGTACCCCCCCAAAACCAGGAATGTTCTGACCTTTGTGCTTTCCTTCACCCATAGTTCCCTCTATCTCCTCAGTGTATCAAAATCTCATCCTTCCTTAAAAGCTGATCAAGGGACTAAATAAACTTTAATTTTCACTTTTTACTAAAATCGTGTAGAGTTTTCAACTTTGCAGATATGACATGAAGAAAAGTTTTTCTAAAACATTATAAGACATAATTATCATAGAATAAATTATACTCATAAGTTTCATGATTTTCAATTTTACCATGGCTTTCTTTATTGGTGGCTTTATTTAGAAAAAATCTCTGGATGAAGATAACTTTGTGAACTCTGCCCATGGATTAGGCAGTATCTAGGCAAAGAAGTGCAACCCAATAAATATCTACCCAATTTCTCTTTTCCTTTTCAATATGTGGAGGCTTCCGTGCCTGGGTAAGGTTTCCTGCAGTCTGTTTCCACACGATCTTTTAGTTTCCAGCGCCCTGGCAGCCTACCTTCTACATTTCACACTCAGCAAAGTGGCCCAGTACACATAGAAAAAAAATGTTTCACAGCGCTCATTTTCCCATTCCCTGCTCTCTTTTCTCTTCTATGGAATGCCAGTTTCTGCTCACTTAACACCGCTTCTCCCTTGGTAGTGAATGGAGACACAGGCTTTTCCAGTAGTACAGACTTATTATCTATATATAGTACACTTACAGCTGATAGGTTTACTTTCCATTCCCAGTCAGAAACAGCTTCCAATCTCTGGACTTTCTGCATGACCCCAGGACACTGGGATCACTCTAAAAATATTTTTACTATATAATATTATTTCTAATATTTATTATGTATTTTATTATATAATTTGAATATTATAATTGCAGACAAATTGAAAAACATAGAAAAGAAAATCAGCCATATTTGCATTACATACAATCACTGTCAACATTCTAGCGTATCCTTTTAATATTTCTTTGCTATTTTCGTTTTCCAACTCATCATGAAGTAAATAAAATAGAAGACTGGAAGTAGCTTCTAGAGGATCCCAGCAGGATACAGTAAGCTCAGCATAAAGGAATTATTTTGTAGAATTGTAACCTAGCAAACTGCTAAGCTTGCTACCTGCTAAAAATCTCTCTCTAGGAATCATCTTGCCATCTGATTGCATTCCCTCTCAGCTTTTTGCCCAACGGGTAGCATATATCATTTCCCTTCCTATTTGTGTGTGTTTGTATGTATGTACGTGTTTCAGTGTGTTGACACAAAAAAGATAAATTATCATATTTTATTGTTTCTAAGATGCATATTTTTCCACATTTTAACATTGTTTAAACCATGATGAAGCTTACAACTGATAGTGTATAATAGTGTAATTGTGTTTTTTTCTTTCTTTATAAGCAGTACATAAGATAATGTTGGGTCTTAAAATCAAATGTATCTTAGATTCTATGTAAATTATATTTAGTAGAATATTTGGGGAGCTCTGAGCAGTTACTAGTACCCTTCCACTTTTGTGGGTATTAGGAGAGGAAAAAGCAATGAATAGTAAATAAATGCATTGGATTAAGGTCCACGTTTTGTTAAATAATGTTTAGGCACTTTTAAACTTAAGGCACATGTAGAAATATAAATTTATATAAACTTTTAGTTGAGTATTCAGCAGCATCTACCAAATTATACATTGAATATAACTTTTGTACAGTTCTAATTTTAGAAATATCTCTTCTAGAAATATCTGAACCAATGTATAAGGATGTTCATGATCTATTGTCCAGAATTGAAAAAATAGAAGTAATCTATATATACACAAGACATGGATTGACTGAACATACTGTACTCAATTCAAAAAATAAAATTAAAAAGAAGGAGGCATATGTATGAGCAAATGTGGAAACATAGCCACAAAATGTTACCAAGTATAGTAATACGACACAGAGGAGTATACAAATACATGTCTGCATATGCAAACAGTTTGAGGGAAGATAAAGGCCAAAGCACTGATAGTGATTAAAGGGCAAGGATTAAATTATGGAGAACTTTTGCATTATATTTGCTTTACTTTTGTATTATTTGAACATTTTACAATGATAATTTGTAATTAGAAAATAAAAATTTTTATTTTTCTTCACTACGAAATTATGGGGAAAAATGAAATTTGTTATTCAAAGGAAATATTTGTTATTCAATTCCCTAAAATGGTCTCAGAAGAAAAAAAATAATTTACTCCACAAGTCATGAGGTGGTTCTGAAACCTTATTTGATTGGTAAAATAAAAGCCTAAATGGGCATGTAAAATGGGAAGAAGAAGAAAGACACCATAGTAAAGATTCAAAGTGAGTATAAAATTCAAAGTTTACTGTATAAGTTTCAAAGAAAAATTATATAAACCACTTTACACATAAAACTGACTTTGAAGTGCCACCTACAGTTTAGCAGGCCTACTAGATCATGGCAGCTCCTGGCAGAAAATAAGTGGATCCTGAATTCTGACACCTTATCATAGACCCTCTAAATGGAAGCTATCCAACTTGTTATTAATGGCGAGATCGAGACAGAATCCATTTGGTTATTAAATTCCCTTTGGAAAACAAACAGAAGTCAGGTTAGTGTCTTTTGTTCTATCTTAAATTTCTGTCAATAATCTAAACCAAAAAAATCACATTGTGCAACCACTTCAAAACCTTTATATTTTCTTTCATTGTAGATTTCAAAGTCTGGATTTTGAATAGGTGAGTGCCTATGTTTATCTAGAATAAATATGTTAATTGAAAACAGTCAAGCTTATCTCATTTCGTCCTGGGGTATAAAAAATTTTTATTTCGTTACCTTTGGAGATTGAACCAGACGATAATTAAAGACTCAAAAAATCTTAGAGCTAAAATGTCCTTGAGAAGACATCTGCTTCATCATTTAATTCTACTGTTGTTTATGCTAGAGACACCCAATGATAGTCTTCCTGTTTAGAGTTAAAATGATTTTAGGAGAAACGGATTAGTTTACAGGTATAATTCATTTTCTGAAGAGCAATGGCCTTATAAAGACCCCCCCCCAACTAGTAATAATTTATTTCTTTATTAAAAACTTTTAAATGTTAAGTACATATAATACAACATCCTTAGTGATTAATTTTAAATTTTAACCATCAAAATATTCTTATTTCTAGTGTTAAGAACCTCAATACTGATCTGGGTCAAAGGTGAAGTTGTGTTTGATGATCTGTGTAGATAGTGATTAAAATCAGGGCGAACAAAGAGGGATAGACAAACAACTGTCATCAGGGCAGTCAGGAACACACACTGCCTGAGCAGGGGCAAGTATCTGGTAAGAGGGACAATTCACGTCCGCACACCAGATCCCAGGCTGTGGGAGCAGCATGCCAGAAGTCACAAAGAGTTTCCAGCAGAGGCAGTCTGATGCCTTGATCAATTTAACTGGTAGTGAAACTCTTTCTGATGTCATCTGTGCTGGTCAACCGTCTGCTCTCAAACCAATCCTATACCTTCCTCTTGCCCTGTCCCATATTATAGGAAACCTTTCCCTTGGCTTCTGAGTAGATTTGGTCAGTGGCAGACATTGTTGGAAGACTTGGTGGCTAAAGAAAGACAGAAGCTAAAGTATATCTCCCCCCAAACCTGTAGTGTATTGACCATGGTTTTGGATCCCATTGGAGAGGCCCATTTTGGTTCTAGCTTTTACCTCATGTTCCAGGCTCCTGGCCCATGATAATAGAGGCTCCTCTCTTGTTACCTCCAGTTTAGGAACTGTAGCCCAAGATGAAGCAGGCTAACTTGCCCTCACTTTGAAATAGCCTTGATTTTGTTATGGGGCCAGGTTTACTGTAAGTTGTATGTTAGGGGAAAAGAAGAATGAGTTTACCCCATGTCATCAGAAAACTCTCTCTGTCCTGGAATAAGGAACTTTAGGTAGGGCATTGCTATTGAGACATAGTAACTACCATTTGTAAAGAAGTGTCCAACTTATATGTACATCCACACATATTATCTGCAACTTACTGTGGGCTAATATATCTTGTGTACAAAATGCTAAAGTAAAATTGATATAAAGTCATATCATTTCATCATACACATCTACTATAAAATATCCGTGGGTGTTTGTTGAGAATAAAAAAAATAACAATTTCCTCTGTTTCTCAAATCAGACTAATTGCTTGTGGGGTAGTTCTTTTATTTCTGAACATAAGTGATGACTTTGGAAGTTCATGGAGATGGAAGCGGTGGCAATTAATAACCATCTCATACTCTAGGCTGTGGGCTGATGAGAATCCATAGCACACGCATTGGGAACGTTTGCACAATAGTTGGGCTGTTAAAGCGTATCTCTTCTAGATTGTCAGAAAATTCCTCTTACACAAACCACTGTTGGTAAGAGGAGATTTCAACCTTTTATGGAAAGTTAAGCACACATTCTCACCAAATATATTTTAATTTTGATTTCTGATGGCAATAATCATGCACTATAACCCCCAAATAGGATAAGGTAAAACGTAAACTACACTACATGATTTTGAATAATGTTTCAGTTTTACAGATCCTAGGAGTTGCTTTTAAAATCACAATATTTATAGACCTAGTCAAAAACCTAAATAAAATTTACTATTCTTTACGTGATTACAGTTCTTGAACTTTGACAGAATATCACCGTTATAAAATATCTGCTCATATATTGCTCCCATATTATTCCCACTCCTATTTTCCAGAGTTTCTTTATCACATGAGCTGTTATATCAAGACACTCTAATCTTTTTTTAAATATCTAGAAAGCAAGAGGTGGTAAAATGTGTGTATCAATTTAATATTTTACTCATTTTTTCCAAAATTGTTTTATTTTATTTCTTTCCTTTTACAGTCTGTTCATCTGGGGTTCGCTTGCCATCAGATCATTTCTTGCTTTCAGCTCAACTTATTTACCCTCGTTGGCTATTGGATTCCTCAAAGTTCTATTTTGTGCCAATGTTGAATATTTAGCAAATTCTCTTTGTCTGCATTTGCTGTCCCACATCTCATGCTTTGGCAAAGCCACTAAAGTTTTCCTATACTGATTTCTCACCGTCCACCAACATATCTGCAATATGGGTTTACTAATATCAAGCAGTTTAGCTTTGCTACTAAAGGGGACCAGCTTCCCCTCACTGACAGGAATTCCCAAAGGAGCTAAAAACAACCACTGGGCTGAATCTATTTCTCTGCTTTGCCTTAAGGAAATGAGTGTTCCTTTTATTACTCTAGTTGCATCTCTTTCTTCTATTTTTGAAAGCGCTTGGTCCCATTGACAGACCAGCTTGTCTCTCTGGTTTAAACCTGTAAGTGTTTTATTTTACTGGCTTTAGCAATATTCCTTCCTTTGCAAAAACGTCTAACTCATCTAAAACCAATGCTTCAATTTATGAGAAAACTTTATAACTAAGTCAAACCATTTCTTCTTGGCTCCTTCTCTGAAGCTTAAAGTTAGAATTTGCTACATCTAGATCCCTGAACTTTAAATTGTGATTTTGTTACATCATTCAGCACTTTTTTAGTCAAGAGAAGACACACTTCCTCAGCTTCAGTATTTGTGCTGTACAAAGAATAAAGATTTTGTTCATCGGCGCTATTTTTTCCAAAGTTGAACATTCACGAACAAACAATATGTAAACATTGACAGTTTTTTTAATGCATATGGTTAACAAATTTTCAGAAGTCAAATTGTTGAATAGTGGTTTTATTATGTACAGCTAGTTTTTTCATAGAAAGAGTAATCATAGCACTTCTCTTTAGCAAATGTATCTACTTTTTAATTTATTGGACACTTGGAGATTGGTTGAGCCTTTTCATGGAATCAAAATGCATGAATTTTACTGAGTACTACTTTTATTCATGCAGATTACTGTTTTACATAAACACTCCACAAGACTAATCTATAAACAATAATATTAAAGTCTTAGATTAATTATCCTAAGTGACTTACCATGTTTTCTTGATGTTCTTAGAATTTTATGGCCCCTCCTGGTGTCTGACCCCAGCGGACAGAGGATTGTGTCAAGCCAATGAAAGCAGATTCTACTACAATTCAATTATTGGGAAATGCCGCCCATTTAAGTACAGTGGATGTGGAGGGAATGAAAACAATTTTACTTCTAAAAGAGCATGTCTTAAGGCTTGTAAGAAAGGTATAGAAGACATTCTTCAGATTATTAATTCACTAGTGTTTAAGATGATAATTGTATTAAAATCCTGAATGAATTTTAATCTAGAAAAATATCCTGAAATTGGTTCTATTTATTATAAGAAACAAAATATTATGATTTAGCTAATAAATGTCCACTTTTCAATTACATTTAGATAATATTGCTGGATATGTAAGCTGCAATTCCTCTTAATGTGTTTTCATAGAAAAAGAATTAATTTCAAACAAATCAACATTTTATTGTTTTAATATTTACATACTATGTTTTCATTTTAAAGAATTATACCAAAATATCTTTACACTTTTTTATAATACACAAAATTTTAATGCCTTTATTGATTTTCTGCTGAGTATAAAAATGATGCATGTTTATAGAAGAGTATTTATATGTAAATAAAAATTATCTATAATTCCACTAGCCACATAGAGCCACATGTCCACTTTTTAATAAAATGAGCTTGAATTTTTGACTGAAGATAAATAATAAAAATCAACAACATGCTTGTCCATTTTTGCTAACTCTTATGTAAACAAAGTGACTTCCTTAGAAATAGGTTCTTCTAAACATAGACAAATTAAAGGCTTTTAATTATTCATTTTTTTTGTTTGTAACAAAAGATAATTTGAGGAAATTTTAGATAAAATGTTTTATTATGTTACTTTATCATGCATAAATTTGTTTCTATTCCTTTTGTAGGTTTCATCCAAAGAATATCAAAAGAAGGATTAATTAAAACAAAAAGAAAAAGAAAGAAGCAGCCAGTGAAAATAGTATACGAAAAAATTTTTGTTAAAAAGACATAAATTTGTTATGTTATTACAACATTAATCCTACTAAATATTTTGGATGAAGCTTTTCAATATGATTTCTATTTTTTTCTTTCCTAAAGTCCTTTTAAAACTTCATGAATTTCCTATGCATATATTACCTGCTATTAATACATTTACATCAGTGATCATTATCTAATCTAGTCAAATTGGTTCTTCCAGGGCTATAATTTATTAGCTGACTACTATAAGTTTACCTATTCTCTTGATCCCTATTTGCCATTTAACTACAAATTATCTTACTGCTGGCCACCTCAAATCAGTCCATTTTTCCATTTAGTGGTCATCTATTTGAGATTATATTGTCACTTACTTGTTTTGATCATATATACGATGATCTTCTTTATAGCCTATGCCCAGATTAAGAAATGCAGCTATTAAAAACCAAGCACTTTTTGGGTTTTCCATCTAAAATGGTGACAAGCACCTTCTGACAAAGATCACTCAATTGTGTATTTGGAAAGAGCTGGTAACAATGGAATTCTATCATATACTTCCCTCTCTAGAAATACGTTTTCTCCTGTTGCACTAACCAGTAGTACCTCGACCAATCTTGAGCCAAACCATATTTCAACAAAGAAAAGTCAACCCTTTGTCATGTGCCTGCCTAATTTTGATTGATATGATTTTTTTTCTTTGCTTATGGCCTGTTATATCAGTAAAGATAGTCAGATAATTGTGTGTTAAATGCTGATCATGATACGAAGAAACTTGGTGGACAAGGGAAGTTTTAATGGCCATCAGAAAGAAACTCTATGTACTTCCTAATTTTATTGTTTGACAAAATGTTCTGCTCCCAAAATAGCAATAATATTTGAACCTCCTGAAACCTGTTGATTTATCATTAGGATAAATGATTACACACAATACAGCCAGAAATTCATGCTTAAAAGAAAAAACAGGCATGCTACTTCTGTAGAAGAGGAAAAGAAAATTATCAGTAAGGAAGATTCCACTAGAAAATCCAAGTGCTGTTTACTCTCAGGGTTTTAACTAACATTCTCTGGAGTTAATTCACTATATCCAGATCCATTCCTTTCCTTCTCTGCTGAGCCATGTGCAGTCCAGCATCCCAACAGCCTCATCATGCACATTTCAGTCTCTATACTGTTCACTTCTAATTTCGTATTTAAATTGGAACTTGTCATCTAGAAACAACTAACCATTTCATCCACTTAGTTTAGCTTAATGACTAATTTCTAGCAATAGTATTATAATTCTGCCTGTTCCTCAGGTTTGAAAGTTTGAACCCAGTCTTGACTTCGTATTTTCCCTCATATACCACATCTAATCAGTCTCCAAACACTATTGCCTCCTTCTTCATAAGCTCATCCAACTCCCAGGCTTTTTACCTTCACTGTATTCTTCACATGAGTATTGACTTAATTCCTAAGAATTAATTCAGTATATTTCACCACTACCCAAAACCCTTCAAGGACTCAGTAGTTGGTACTTAACCTTACCCAATTCCCCACAATTTTTATATATATATATATATGTATATTTGGACTTAGCTACACTACTCTTTCATGAATACTTCAATTTAGTTAAAAGAGTATTCGCTGTTCACTGAAAATATCTTTAATTACTCAGCTTATTCATGCTGATTTCTTATTCAAAAATCTGATCCCCTCCAGACCATTCATCTGAATCCAGGGTCCAACTGATATGAGTTATGAAATCACCATGTTTTGAGACAGAATATGAAAAGTCCTAACATACAATTATACATAATTTTCATTCTACGGCATAAAAATTATATGACCCCAAAATAATTTCAATTTTTTCACTAAAGAAAAACTTCGTATCTTAATTTCAAATATTCAGTACACAAGCAACTGCTTTAAACTGAATCTTTGCTGTGGAATTTGAGCAAAGAATGCCAAAAAATCCAAAAAACTTTGGAAATCAAAATCCATTGTGAAATATGCTCTGTTGTCATTTATACATGGATAGCAATAGCTTCAAATAAAGGCTAAAGTCTCCTTAGGTCGAGTGGCAAGTTGCCAAGGACATATAAACAGCACATTGGTGAGTTGACTAATTGTTTTCTCCAATTACCATTCATGGCTTCATTACTTAGTCTAAAAAGACATACACTAAGATGGTTTGCAATGTTTAATGCATGTGAATATTATTTTTACTATGTTTTTCAATAGAAGCCCTCTGGTGGTTTTGTCTTGCTTTGTTTTGCATAATCAAATGCATCTAACTGTGAATTTTATATAGATTTATATTATACAGCATATACTTATATTTACCTATTTTGTTTATTTGTTCAAAATTAAGTCATGCTAAAAACAGCTCAAATGATTTTATTTTTTACATTATAAGAAGTAAAGTGTATTATCCTGAATAATAAAAAGTTTTACTGCTGTACTCATGAAATTTTTTACACTTAAAAAATAAATTAGTGTTCTTCACTTATCACAAAGGTAAAAAGCCCAAAGACAAAGAGAAAAAATGTTTCATAAGCTCCAGTCCATTTTCACCTCTTTAATTGGAATTTCCTAATAATCCCCTTTCAATTACAAATCTGCATCCATATTATGATTTCCTATTTGTCAAACAAATTAGGATACTATGCTTTACAATCCTAATATTCTACATTTGCTCTATTCCATCTAAATTTCTATCAATCATTTCTTATGTAATTATATAAATATGCTATGTATATTTAGATATATATCATAACTACACGTTGAAGGTGGCCTGGCCACTCTCCATAGAAGAAGAAAGAAGAAAATCACACTAATGTAGCCACTGGTTAGTGGACTTCTTGAATTTTTATCACCTGCACTTACTCTTGTCTGTTTTTTTATGAAATTAGCATTTGTATGTAGTTTTTCCAACTTTTGACTTTCAGTTCTTTCTCAACGACATTAGCGAGGACACACCTTAATTGCTTTTCCTGCATCCTGCTATACAGAACAGGGAACCTAGATCTTGTCAGTCCCTCAGGCCCCAATCTCTGAACTACTCTAACCACGTGGCTGGTGTCTTGGCTAGAATTATTCAGACCACTTTTAAAGGGAGTAGTGGTACATGGCAATTCATTTTACCAGAGGGAGAAAGAGGCAGGCAGTCATTTAATCATATACAAAAAAATACAAAAAAATAGAGCATTAGGACTATGAATATGATTTCCTCAACACAGATGAGAAAAATTCTGGTCCAAACAGTCTGAAACAAAACAGGGATATATTTGACTACAAATTGAAAAGGCTAGAGGTATTTGACTTTATTATGGATGGATTCAAGACCTCATGTTTTCATCAAAACTCAGTCTGTCTTTGCCCCTAATTCTGCTGCTCAACAGTATTTCTATTTATTCCTAATCTCACAAGATTTCAAGATGACTTCCAAAATTTAAGGCCCACATCCTCTCAGAGCAAAGTTTTCTAGAACTAGAAAAGTTTGGACTCTCTTACTTCAAAGAATCTAATTAAAGTTCTGGCCTTGGGGACGATCCATGAAAGAAATAATTGAGAAGTTAGACTTCATTAAAATTTAAAACTTTGCATCTGCAAAAGACAATATCAAGATATTAGAAGACAAGCCACAGACTGGGAGAAAATATTTGCAAAAGATCATCTGATAAAAAAATTCTTATCCAAAATATTTAAAGAACTCTTAAAAGTCAACAATAAGAAAACAAAAGACTCTCTATTTAAAAATGGACCAAAGTCTTTTTTTTTTTTTTTAAAGATTTTATTATTTCCTTTTTCTCCCCAAAGCCCCCTGGTACATAGTTGTATATTCTTCATTGTGGGTTCTTCTAATTGTGGTATGTGGGATGCTGCCTCAGCGTGGTCTGATGAGCAGTGCCATGTCTGCGCCCAGGATTCGAACCAATGAAACACTGGGCCGCCTGCAGCGGAGCGCGCGAACTTAACCACTCAGCCACGGGGCCAGCCCTGGACCAAAGTCTTTTTTAACAGATATCTTACCAAAGAAGATATGCAGACGGCAAATAGCATGTTAAAAGATGGTTCACATTATATGTCATCAGGGAAATATAAATTAAAACAATGAGCTATGACTACACACCTATTAGAACGGCCAAAATCAGGTATACTGACACCACCAAATGCTGGCAAAGAGCAAGAGCAACCCTTATTTATTGCTGGTGGGAATGAAAAATGGTACAGCCACTTTGGAAGACAGTTTGAGAGTTTCTTATAAAACTAAACATACTCTTACCATATCATCCAGCAAACATGTTTCTTGGTATTTACCCTAAGAAGTTGAAAATGTATGTCCACACAAAAACCTGCACACAGATATTTAGAGCAACTTTATTCATAATTGCCAAAACTTGGAAGCAATCCAGATGTCCTTCAGTAGATGAATGGGTAAACTGTGTTACATATAGACTATGAAATATTATTCAGCACCAAAAACATATGAGCTGCTAAGCCATAAAAAGACATGGAAGAACCTTAATCCATATGACTAAGTGATGGTTTCTGAGCAGTTAAAGGAGATGATTAGATTTTTGGTTTAAACATGCAATTTAATGACTCTGATAAATGGGCAGGGAGGAGAGAAGGAGGATTAAAAAGCTCACAGAACATTCAGAGGTTTCCAGCATCTCTGCTGCATGTGATTCCAGATTCCAGAGAATTCCAGAGGATTCCAGAGAAGAGCAACATCAGCTTCATGGCAGAGTGAGCTCTTCCCATAGACTCTCTCCCCTAAGACACAATGAGAAGGACATTTATAAACCAACAGGGGACATTCATACAACACAGTAGACATCTGAGAGAACCACACAGTCATACGTCTGAAGGTGGAGGTGCTGGACCCCCCAGGAGGAAGTGGGAGGAGGTAAAGGGATCTCCTTTCCGTCCCCAGCAGTGACATAGAGTGTGGGACTGCATGCAGCTCTGGGTTAGGGGCTCTCTGTGGGAACAACTTTGCTCTTGAAATTGCCTTTCAGCTGTAGGTAAGCTACCTACATAGGAGGCTAAGTTATCACAGAGATGTTCTCATCAAGCCAGCAGCCCAGGAGGGCAGATAGCTAGGGCAGA